GGTTCTGGCTCTGGCTCTGGCTCTGGCTCTGCAACAGCAACTTTAAGCACCTACTCCGAAGGTGTTGCTCCAAATATGAAAGTATCGGGTGTCTTGGCTGTACTCGCATTGATTCCTTTCCTCTTTTGAGCTTGACTCAATCTGCTTGCATCATTTTCTGTAAGCCAAAATTTATTTTAATTCCAACTTATATCCAACCCTATTCCTTCGTACAACTCTTTTATGTATTTTTTAGTATTTCTTCAATCTGTATTACAATATAAACTTAATTCTTCACCAGTATAACTCTATCACCAATTACATTATCAGTTGTTTGGTAATTTATTCGTAAATGCTATCTAAGCTTTTAGTTTCAAAGCGGAAAATCCGCACTCCACCAGCAACACGAAGGTGATTGAAAGATAAGGTAAAATGGGGGGTGGGGACGTGGAATCACAGAGCAAACCGAGTTGAGACACCTTTATGGCCCCCATTCAATTGCAGGCACCTTTGTGGCCCCCATTTGATTGCAAGCACCTTTATGGCCCCCACTTGATTGCAAGTACCTTCTTGTTTTCTTTCCCCGTTCATCCTATTCCTGCACATTTCACGCACATCACTAATCAATTATAATAAACGCCTGTCTTAAACGGATTCCTTAATGCTCGATAGCAAAACAACCTTCGTTCGAGGTGAGGAATGTCCAGTCGAGCGTAAACAACAGCAGGTAGCAAACCATCATCCAAAGGAAGTAGCAGAAGAAAGAGGGAAATAAATGGCATCATTTTCAGATTTGACAGGATACGTTATCAGCATTACTTATCTCAACGAAAAGAGGTGGGATACTTGGGTGGGGGCACCAACTCTTCGACTTACGATGGAGTTTCCATGGATATAAAGTCGAGGAATTCCCACCAATTGGAAACCAAACAACAATGTCGAATATTAAGTCTCATAGTACTGTGTCTTCGACTGCCAAGAATGAAGTAGAACTTCGAGTCGATGCTGTGGACGACCTCAGACTCGACGCATTGGAAGAACACAAGATCTCTTTGAGGCAGATCTTGAAAGCTCATCCAGTCCCCAAGTTTTCTCCTGCAAGAATCCGACTTTATGTAACCATCTGCTGTTTGTACTTGGTTGCTACATGCTCCGGGTTTGATGGCCTGTTAATGACAAGTATCAACACTTTAGACGAGTATAAAGAATGGTTCAACTTGCCGGAATCTGCAAGTGGAACTGGTTTGGTATGTGCAAGATTTAAATGGCTGCTAAAATGAATAATTACTAACTATACAGATTTTTCTGATTTACACGATTGGTTCAATGGCATCTACATGCCTCGTGTGGCTTGGAGACTATATTGGCAGGGTTTATACCATTGGTATTGGATTGGTGATTGTCGTTATAGGCTCAATTATATCTGCAACCACCGCAAATCATAAGGCGTTTATCGCTGCTCGGTTTATATTGAGTTTTGGTGTCACACTTGCAACAACAAGTACCCCCGCTTACTTATTGGAAGTTGTTCCAAGTGACATGAAGACTCTTGCACTTTTCTACAACACCTTGTATTTTGTGGGAAGTTTGATCGCTACTTGGACTATGTATGGAACTGAGATTCACTATAAAGGAACTCATAAAAGTTTCAGTATTGCTTTGTGGTTGCAAATCTTATGTCCTTGTATAATTTTGAGCATGCTCTGGTTATTTCCTGAAAGCCCAAGATATCTTTACTCGAAGAATAAAGTTGAGAAGAGTAAAGCTTTTGTGGTAAAGTATCATGCTGGTGGTGATGAAAACCATCCAATTGTTGCAGCTGAGATGAAGCAAATTGCAGAGTCTTTTGCTCAGTCAGGATTCTTGAAACCCAGAGACTATCTTGACTTCACGGTTTTGATCAGAACAAAAGCTCGTCAAAAGAGAACTCTTTTGGTGGTGATCTGGTCTTGGTTTTCTCAATTCAGTGGTAATCAAGTCATTACCTACTACATGACAACCTTGCTTCTTAACTTGGGGGTTGAAAACGCTACCACTAGATTACTTTTGACGGCTGTTAACTCGATTGTTTGTCTCATATTTGCCAGTTTTGGAGTCTTTACTATTGAGAGGTTTGGAAGAAGACCGATCCTTCTATATGCCTGTGCCGGGTTTATTCTTTGCTTCGCAGTGTTGGCAGGGACTACAAAAGCATTTGAAGCAGACAACAACAACCACGTTGCATCCAGAGTGGGAATTGCCTTTATCTACATTTTCCAAGCAGTGTTTTTCGCCTTTGCCTTCACTCCTTTGCAACCAACTTATCCAGCAGAAGTGTTCTCTAATGATATGAGAGCAAGGGGAATGGCATTGTGGCACTTGGTTTCTAATGCGGCTGGTACCGTGAACTTATACACCGCCCCTATTGCAATGGCAAACATCAAGTATTGGTACTATGTTTTTTTCTGCTTCTGGGATGCCATTGAACTATTGGTTATTTACTTTTTCTTTGTTGAGACCAGCCAATTGAGTTTGGAGGAAATCGAGTACATTTTCACCCAGCCAAATTCGGTGAAGGAGAGTATTCGGTTGTCCAACGCTGCTCGTTCTGGTGACACAGAAGTAGTCAAAGAGCTTTTTGCTCACATTGACCCTGTGACAAGCTTAGATGCTTGATTGTTAAATTAGTGTTATATTGTGAATTTATATCGAGAACTTGAAAAGCTTTGTATTGACCCTTAAACCCACCGAAAAATCCTTACTGTAGACATGTGCTTTGGTACAGAGTTTGAGTGTAGGTAGACGCTTAGATACAGACAGCCAAACTGATAACCTAATGAAAGATTGGGACGAGGTCAAGAATTTTTCACTAGTTCAGCTCTTTGCCACGACTGCAAACTATTGAGATGGTGAAGATAAGATAAGCAAGTACAAGTGGGGGCAGCATCAGGTACCCAGAAGATAGTAAAGTGATGAGGAGGGTGATGGGGGTACTTGCAAGAAGAGGAGATAAGAATGGGGGTCAATTGCCATGATAGAAGCGAATGGGGGCATATACCCAATAGGAAATACGGAAATTGTGCCCGCTGTCCATTGAGCCAAACTCAGTAAGTCTCTAAGATAACCCCCACCCGAAACAACCCCCTTTCCAACTTCAATTTGCCGTATACCAGATTACATGGCAACCAAATACCGTTTCCCGGTAGGAGGGGTGACCCCCTCAGCATATAAATCCCGCTTTCACTCCGGCCCTTTTGATAATATCATTAAAATGTTGCAATTGACCCAGCAAACATTAAAGAACTGGAGCTTCCGTCAAGCCGGAGATGAAGATTGGAAGCCCTCTAGAAAAGGAGCAGAGACCACTGAAATTCACCCTGATCTTATTGAAAATGGGCTTATTCCTGACCCTTTTCTTGACGACAACGAGAAATTGGTTCAATGGGTAGGACTTAAAGACTGGGAGTATAAGGTCAGTTTTACCCCAGAGGCTTCGGTTCTGAAGCTCAAGGTGCACGAATTAGTGTTTGAAGGCCTTGACACTTTTGCTGATGTTTTTCTCAACGGTCGCAAAATTATATCCACTGATAACATGTTTGTGCACTACAAAGCAGATGTGGGAAAATACATAAAATTTGGCGAAGAAAATGAGCTTAGAATATACTTTTATTCTGCTATAGTAAAGGGCCGAGAGCTTGAGAAGAAATTTGGTTGGCATGGATGTTCCAACGGAGAAACGTCCAGAACCCACGTCCGGAAAGCCCAATACCACTATGGTTGGGATTGGGGTCCCCTTTTGATGACATGTGGCCCCTATCGTCCGATCAAGTTTGTTTCGTATGATTTGTCAATCGACGAGGTGTTTGTGGACGTAGGAATTACAGACGAATTGAATGCTTCCATCGACGTCAAAACAACGATCTGCGGATTTGCAGCCGATGCGGCATTGCAAATCAATGTGTTATCACCAAGTGGGGAAACAGTTGCGTCCGAGAAGGGCCAAGAATTGAAAATAGGAGAAAACTCGACCAAATTGTATTTGGAACTGCCCCAGTTATGGTTCCCCCATACTCATGGAACCCCTGCTCTATATGACTTCGAGTTGACAATTGTAGTGGACGGTCACGTGATCCACTCAGTCACCAAGAAGGTGGGACTCAGAAGCGTCGAATTGATCCAAGAGCCATTTGCAGACCAGCCCGGTGCCAGTTTCTACTTTCGTGTTAACGGAGTCCCCGTGTACAGTAACGGTTCTAACTGGATTCCTGCTCACTCGTTTCAAACTTGTTTGACCCCAAAAGACTATACCGAATGGCTTGAACTAATGGTTAATGGGAACCAGAATATGGTCAGGATTTGGGGAGGTGGATACTTTGAACAAGACATTTTCTACCAAGAGTGTGACCGGCTTGGGCTTTTGGTCTGGCATGACATGATGTTCGCTTGTGCCCAATACCCTGGGTACAAGGAGTTTGAAGAATCGGTTGAAAAAGAAGTGATTTGCCAGTTGAAACGACTTAGAAACTACTGCAGCATTGCGTTATACTGTGGTAACAATGAAGACTACCAGTCGGCCGATAGATTCAAGCTTACAGACGAAACTTTCTTTGGAAAAAAGCGCTATGAGAAATCCTTTCCCAAACTTGTGTCTCAGTACTCTCCGGCAGTTCCTTATCACCCTGGGTCTCCTTGGGGGGGTTCCAGTTACAAAGACGAAACTGCTGGTGACATCCACCAGTGGAACGTTTGGCACGGAACTCAAGAGAAATACCAAGATTGGGATAAACTTGGAGGACGGTTTGTTTCTGAGTTTGGAATGGAAGGTGCTCCTGCTTTGAAGACCTACGAGGAGTGTATCACCGATCCAAAATACCGGTACCCCCAGTCGTATATGATTGACCACCACAACAAGTCCGACGTGTTTGAAAGGAGATTGGCCTCATATGTCACCGAAAATGTCAAAATGACTGGCAGTGATCTTGACTCTTGGATCTATGCCACTCAGTTGATGCAAGCAGAATGCTTAGCTTACGCCTACAGATGCTGGAGAAGAGAATGGAGAGGTGATGGTAAGCGATACAGTGCTGGTGCTTTGGTCTGGCAAATTAACGATTGTTGGCCATGTGCTTCTTGGGCTATTGCCGATTTCAAGAAAAGGCCCAAACTAGCTTATTACTCTATCAAGAAAGAAAGTGCTCCTATTGTCGTGGGATTCTACAGAACTGGAATCAAAAAGGAAAACGGTGCAAGTAACTCAAATGCCAAGTACAGTATTCCCTTCAACTATAATACTACTCAATATTTCTTGGATATCTGGGGTGTAAATGGTACAACCAGCGATATTAAGGCAGTTTTCAAAGTCGATCTCTACCATGTAACGACAGGAGAGAAGCTAAAGAGCTTGGAAGATCAAAAGGTGATTTTGAAAGCTAATCAGTCCACTGAGATCTTCAAACAGTACGAGCTAGACACGGAAATTCCAATAGTGGCACATGGTACCTTCTATGACGAGGAAGGATCGGTGCTTGCTGCTGGAGCAGATTGGCCTCAGCCATTGAAGTATCTCTTTTTCCCTGACAGAAAGATCGAAAAGGTGGTTAAAGATGGTTCCATCACCTTGTCCACCAATAAGCCCGTGAAAGGAGTAGAAATCATCACCGAAAACGATATATACTTGGACGATAACGGGTTTGATATTTTTCCTGGTGAGTCTAAGGTCGTCAAGTCCAAGGGGATCTTTGCTACAGACAACATTCGAATCAGATATTATCAGTAAATACTGTTAAATACATACTGTAGTCACTGGCTGCGAAATTTACATAATGTGATCTTGGTAAATTCAACAATCCTTTTACCTGAGGAGAAAAACTCCTGCACTATCGGTTGGTCCCCAGCCTTAGATAAACTACCCCCAAGTAATTCAACTCTAGTTCTCCTTGACATAAAATACGGTAGATGCTAAGTAGGCACGGTATCAGCGTTGCACGACCAGGTCGCGGCGCCGACCCGACCACAGGATAACACCGTCGTGAACCGCCAAATCCCCATTGGCGCTCGCTTTTTGCCTCGACAAAAACATTTTGGGAACAACTAACAACAAATTCATTTGCAGTGAAATCACCAAAACTTGGCCAAGTGATTTATCGCACCTTCAATTGCCGTCAATTACCCCCTCACCAATTGCGTTTGTGCCTGTCCTTGTGTTTTGCAAACCATGTCAGAAATAGAGATCAGCTCTGCAGACTCGGAGAGCAAATCACAATCTAACTCAGATGAAGTGAAAAATGACCTGCCTACACTAGATCTAGATTCCAAGAACGGCTTAGAACCACACCCTACAATTCCATCGGAGCCTCTGACCGCAGGGGATGTTGCGCAAAACGGCCATGTCGAAGGTTCTAATGGAAACGTTGATTCAACAGCTGAAAATGACATCATGGATACTGTTGACTTAAATGAACATATGCCTACCCCCGAAACTACTTCCGAAGCCATCACCCCAATAATTGAGGAACCAGATCAAGCAAACTCCATCCATAGCCTGGAAGTGCCCCCTTCTTCAAGAGACAATGTCTCTCATACCCGTCAAACATCAACAACTTCGGTTTTCTCTGCAGCAGCCACTCTTGAAAACAGCAACATCTTCAAGCGGCCGTTCGAGTCGATTCTTGAAAGCAAGGAAGCCAAGAAGAATGAAGCATTGAGACAAGCCGTGCAAAAAGGGCTTGATTCCATCAATGATTCCAACTCCAGAGACCCTCATTTGGTATTTGGAGCGTTAAAAACCGTGTGTGAGTCCTCCCACCCTCATCTCAAGTCCATCGCCATTGATCTTTTTGCCAAGCTCTTCGATTATAGTCAGTTTGAAGATGAAGATGACAAAATCAAGCTCACCAATGATTCGGTGGAGGTGATTGCATCGTGCTTTGATGGAGAAGGAACCGATCTCGAAGTTGAGCTTCAGGTCGTGAGAGCATTATTGCAAAGTATTGTGTCGATGCCATGCCATGGGGCTTCTCTTTTGAAAGCTGTCAGGCAGATATATAATGTGTTCATCTTCTCGTTGAATCCAAGAAACCAGTCGGTGGCCCAAGGGATTTTAACGCAGGTTATTGGGACCGTTTTCCAGAGAGTTGTTGATGCTGGTTTAACCAAAAAAGGAGCCAGTGATAGTGTGTTGAACATCAAAACACCAGCAAATTTCAGCAATGAAGATGTGGGGACAGTTTCTGAAGACGCATCTGAACAAAGATTAACTCTTGAGAACTTGGAGAGATTGACAAACGAAAATATTGACTTGGATACGGCAACCAATGGCCACAGCCATGAAGATGTGGTTGTCAAAGACGCCTTTTTGATCTTCAGGGCTATGTGTAGATTGTCGGTGAAGGACGTTGAGACTGAGACATTGGATATGAGAAGTCATTCGGTGCGGTCTAAATTGTTGTCATTGAATATCATTCACACAATTTTGAAGCAGTACATTGACATATTTTTGAGCAGAGATGTGGTATTACCTTCGAGTTCGACTGAAGGTCAAACTCGATTGATAAATGCCGTCAGACAATATTTGTGCCTTTCATTATCCAGAAATTCTGCCTCTCCGATTGCTCCAGTATTTGAGTTGTCATTAGAAATCTTTTGGTTGATAATTTCAAATCTTAGGTCTGAATTCAAACGTGAAATCCCTGTTTTCTTTGACGAAATATACTTTCCAGTATCAGAGATGAAGACCTCCACACCACACCAAAAAAGGTATTTACTTTCAATCATTGAACGATTGTGTAACGATTCAAGATGCATTATAGAGTTCTACTTGAACTACGATTGTGATACCAACATGCCTAACATCTGTGAAAAGGTGATTGACTATTTGACCAAACTATCGTTGGCTCGGGTTGAGGTTACGCAACAACAAATGATAGCTTTTAGAGAAAATAGAGGTAAGGGTGTTTCCTTATACGATCCTTCCAAGATCTCCAACTTGATCAGCACCACTATGCAATCTAGACCTCCAGCTTCTGAAATCTACACTCATTTCCCATTGGAGTATGCCCTCAAAATGACTTCTATCAACTGTTCGGTAGCTTTCTTGAGATCCTTGTACACCTGGGCTCAGAAAGGTTTCAATTCATCTACCCCAAATGGTAAAACGTTCCGCAATATCTCCTTAAGTCATCTTTCTTTGAACAGACACAGATCGAGCACTGCTACTTCTGAAACTCCAAGTAATGGTGAATCAAGAAATGCGTCTTTTGTGAATGGTAACGATACCAGTGTAACAGAATCTGATGATCCAACTCAATTCGAAAGTTTGAAACAGCGGAAGAAGGCATTATTGGAAGGTATAAAGCAGTTCAATCAAAAAGCCAAAAAAGGGGTGCAATACTTCCTCGCAAATGGATTCATTGAATCCAAAGAACCCCAAGATGTTGCCAGATTTTTGTTGGAAACAGATGGTCTTGATAAAGCGGTTATCGGAGAGTACTTAGGAGAAGGCACAGATGACTGCATAGCCACTATGCATTCGTTCGTTGATCTTATGGATTTCGCCAATATGTCTTTTGTTGATGCAATGAGAACCTTTTTACAAGCATTTAGATTGCCCGGAGAAGCTCAAAAGATTGATAGATTCATGTTGAAGTTCGCTGAAAGATATGTTCTGGGTAATTCTGGCATTCTTGCCAATGCCGAATCGGCCTACGTTTTGTCTTACTCTGTTATCTTGTTGAATACCGACTTACATTCGCCCCAGATCAAAAAGAGAATGACATTAGAAAGTTTTATTGCCAACAACGCTGGTATTGATGACGGAAAAGATATTCCTAAGGATTACTTGGAAGTCATTTACAATGAAATCGCCCACAACGAGATTAAGTTACAGAGTGAACAGCATGCTGCATTGTTAGCTGGAGACCTTCAATTACCTCAAACCCAATCGGGTGGACTCTTTGGAGGCCGAGATTTGGATCGTGAAGCTTACTTTTATGCGTCGAAAGAAATGTCCACAAAGACTGAGAAGTTGGTGAGAGACTTGGGGAAAAAGACAAGAGACGACTCGCAAGGTGGTGTTTTCTATCAGGCCACGAGTGTGTATCACGTCAAGTCGATCTTTGACACTCTTTGGATGTCTATTTTGGCTGGTTTGACACCTCCATTCAAGGAATATGATGAAGTTGATGTCACCAAGATTTGCTTGGAAGGTATCAAGCTTTCTATAAAGATCGGGTGCATGTTTGATTTGGACTATGGCATGAAATCTTTTATTGGAGCTCTTGTTCAATTTGAGAATTTGAATAACTACGAAGAAATGAAACCCAAAAATGTCGACGCCATTCACATCTTACTTGAAATTGCTATTTCTGAGGGTAACTATTTAAAGTCAAGTTGGATCCAAGTATTAACATCCATTTCCCAATTGGAGAGACTTCAGTTGATTTCTAGAGGTATTGATCAGGAAACGATTCCTGATGTGTCAACTGCCAAACTCGTGAATAGAGCGTCATTTGAAACCAACAACCATAGACAATCAGGCGGATTTTTCAGACTGTTTTCATCGTCTTCTACCGCTTCTCAAACAGCTTCTAACAAATATCACAATCAAAAACTCCACCCAGAAGTTGCTGAACTTTTGTTGAGTTCAGAATTAAGTGCTACAACTGACAAGGTGTTTCTGAATAGTGCTAGTTTAAATGGTGAAAGTATTGTTGAATTCATTAAGGCATTATCCGAAGTTGCATTGGAGGAGATTGAATCATCTGGTCAAAGTGTGAACCCAAGAATGTTTTCATTGCTGAAGATGGTGGATATTTGTTACTACAACATGACTCGTATAAGAGTTGAATGGTCTCAACTATGGTCTGCCATGGGTACCGTGTTCAACCAAGTTGGATGTCACAGCAACATTAATGTGGCTGTATTTGCAATTGACTCTCTAAGACAATTATCTAATCGTTTTTTTGAGCTTGAGGAGTTATCACACTTTAAGTTCCAGAAAGAGTTTTTGAGTCCTTTTGAATACATTGTTCACCATAATGACTCTCTTGAAATAAAGGATATGGTGTTGGAGTGTTTGAACAATATGATTTTGACTAAGCTGGCTAACATAAAGAGTGGCTGGAAAGCCATTTTCACGGTTTTGACGGTCACGGCTGCTGAGAACAAGGAGCTGTTGGTAAACCGGACGTACAAGTTGGCCGATTGGATTTACAAGAACTACTTGAATGAAGTCAGAAATCAAGATGCATTTGGTGACTTGATCAACTGTTTCACAGAGTTGTGCAAGAACGGTAGATACCAGAGGGTCAACTTATTGTCTTTGGGTGTTTTACAGAAGATCAACAACCAGATCGCTGTTGAATACTTGAATAAGCCTGTTGAACATCGGGATGAAATGTTGCTCAAGTTGTGGTTCCCAGTATTGTTTGGATTTCACAAAGTCATTATGCACGGAGAGGAGCTAGAAGTAAGATCTAGAGCCTTGACCTACTTATTTGATATATTGTTGGAATATGGAGAGAATTTTGATTCTCTGTTCTGGGACTCTGTTTGCAAGGAATTGTTATTCCCCATATTTGAGGTGTTGCACAACAGATGGGGATTATCCAACTTTGATGATACAAATGACAACTTCTCCGTTTGGTTATCAACAACGTTAATCCAGGCTTTGAGAAATATGATTGGCTTATTCACCCATTACTTTGAATCATTGAGAAGCAGGACATCTGATTTCTTAAGTCTTTTGATTAGTTGTGTGTGCCAGGAAAACGACACTATTGCCAGAATTGGTAGATCATGCTTACACACTCTTTTGATTGAGAATGCGGAGAAGTTCAATGATGATGAGTGGAAGTTGATTATTGATTGTTTCCGCACATTATTCCAATTGACTGAGGCCAGAGAGCTTTTTGACTTGGACCCATTGAAGACGGAAGAGGTGTCACTAGAGGTTGAAGAAGACCCCAACGTTTCTGAGGTTGTAGGAGGCGACACCAGCCAGTTTTCCAAACACCAGGAAAAGTCCTCAATTGTGGTGAAGTGCGTCCTACAACTTCTCATGATTGAAAGCTTGAGTGAACTCTTTGAAAATGACGTCTTTTACGAAGCGGTTCCATACGAGTACTTGAAAGATCTTGCTGACCTTTTGAACGAAAGTTTCAAGTTTTCCAAAAACTTCAACGACGACTATGACTTGAGAGTAAGATTGTGGAATGCTGGAATCATTGAGAGATTACCTAATCTTTTGAAACAAGAAAGCTCTTCTTCAGCTGTGTTCATCAACATTATGTTCCGAATGTATTGTGATGATGACAAGACCAATACAGAGTCAAAAGAGTATATCATCGACACAATTGTTCCTTTGTGTACGGATATCATCCAACAGTACTCGGAGTTTGACGAAACCAATCAACAACGGAACTTGTCGACCTGGAAGCCAGTTATCATTGAGATATTCCAAGGGTTCTACGAACTTGATGAAAGTGACTTCAGAAAACACGTTCCCGTTATGTACGAATCGACTTTGAAATTATTCTCCCGAACTTTGTCAGCCGAACTCAGAGGTTCGATAAAAACATTCTTTACCAGGGTCGGAGAGCTTTTCATCAAAGAAACGTGAAATTTCATTATGTATCTTTTAATAGTAATATTATTGAAATCAAAGTATGGGGTAGAGGCTGAAATATACGCAACACCTACCGCAAGACCATGCCCTCGTTTACGCGCAGGCCACTGCTTCTGAAAAATTTTCAGTGGTGAGCCTTGAAGTAAAATGTGCGACCAAAATTTTCCAACCTCGACGTTATACTAAGAAAGTTGATTGTCTTTAAAGATGTCATTTCAAAACAAGGTATGTTTCCAATGAGTTCAAGAATACGAGTGAAGGATAATTCTTTTAATAATTTCTCTCAGAAGGGCTTTTAACGTGGCTCATCATTGGTTTTATGTTGGCAGCAAAATCAGTCATGGAAAACCATGATACTAGTAAAACTCACTCCCCACCCCATTGTTAACCCCAAACCTCACCAATTCCTACCACCAGCTCAACCGCATACTAACGACCTCCAGAACTTGTTCCACTTGTTGGGCAACGACGTGGAAGATGAAGAACCATCTTTAGCACCAAGAGAATTAGTTAAGAACAACACTTCCAGCAAGAAGAAGGATGAAGCCCCAAAAGCCGACCCATCTAAGGCCAAGAAGAAGAAGCCAGTGACCGGTAACGAAGGAGCTATCAAGGAACAGTTGAACAACAAAGAAGTCCCAGGTCCAAGCTCTACTCCAACTTCCCACTACAAGAAATCTTTTGACCGTCATGCCACTAGAACTCATAAGGGAGGCCAAAGAAAGCCAAGAACCGATCCAAAGGACGGTGAAGCCACCTTAGAAGATGAACTTGACGGTGAACAAGACGCTGAAGAAGAAGAAGCAGCAGCTGAAGTAGTTGATCAAACCCCAAAGAAATCTTTGGAAGACTACATGGCGGAATTGAAATTGGCCCAAGCCACTTTGGACGGCCAAAAGGCTGCTAGAACCGCCAACGAAGGTGCCGAAGGTAAATGGACTGCTGAAGAATTGCTTGTTAAACAACAAGAAGAGTATGTTCCAGCTTCGGTTGAGAAGAAGATCAAGCAAAAGGCTGCTAAGGGAAAGAAGTTTTTGGAATTTGACGCCACTTTCGATGCCCCCAGCGCCCCAAGACCTGCTTCTTCTACCAGAGGATCCCCAAGAGGTGGTAGAGGTGCTGCCAGAGGTGCCACTAGAGGTGCCAGAGGTGCTTCTAGAGGTGCCAGAGGTGATTCCAAGCCCGCCACTTCCAGAAGAACCGACAGCAAGGTTGCCTTGGATGATGACAAGAAGTTCCCATCTTTATAAACCGTTTGTGGTACCACACATGATGCTCTCTTCAGCTTAACTTAGTTTATATTTAGTTCATAATAAAAATGAATATAAATTCGTTTTTGGACACGATGTACACGTTACGGCCTTCGAACTCGAGGTTGGTGTAGTTGACTTTTGTGTTGATTATGGGTTTAATGTGTAGCAGTAGTTTGACCAAGTAAGAGCCAGGCACTTCATGGGCCCCGATGAGTTTGAGGCCGTTTTGGCTCGAAAAAACCGCATACCCCGACACCTGGAGGCCATGAAGTTCAAGAAGGTCCGTGCAGAGCTGTACGGTTGGCCCTGATAGCGTGGGAATGGTCTCCATGGCGCTTTGGAGTGGGCCTAATAGTGCGCGGAATCAACAGTGTGAAGGGGGGTCGTGTGGAGACGGGAATTCTAGCGGAGTCGATTTACTCAAATAAGCCATTAACCAATTGGGCTACCGCGACGACGGCGGGATGTGAGCTCTCTGGGTATGTCAACGCAATGGGCATGCACAGCCGATAAAGGGCTGTTCGGTTTCACCGGTTTTCAACTGTACTCTACCTTGATAGCGCACGACCCAGCGATTCCAGCACGACTTCCCATCCCCAGCACGACCCACCTCGGTCCCTCAAGTAACCTACGCACTACACCACCACTTGCAATCTCCACAATTGTGCCACCAAGTACCCACTCAGGTCACAAAAACACAATTCAGCCCTTGTACGTATCTTCTGCCACAAATACCTTACCGTTGCAATCGTCTCCCCGTTTGGTGGGAATAGCCCCAAAAAGACGAGGAGTTTGGAACTATTAGCGACCGCCCGAGCCCGCACCACCTCCAAAAGCTTTTACTATTCGGCCCCAAGTGACATTGAACGGTTGTAAACATAAACAATAAATTATACTAACAACCAGGTCATTCAACCCCTGAGCTCTTTTTTCTGTTCGCTTTTGCGGAAGGTAGTGGCGGGTTATTGGTTAGCACCCATTAGTGTCCGGTTTTGTACTGTGAAATGGAGCCCAAAAAACGCGCGTAGTCATTTGTTACAAAAAACCCTATCTCAATTATTTAGTCACAAAGTGTGTTTATTTTTTTGTTAACTAGTTTACTACAATTACCGCTTACACATACCACCCACCTCACGTTGCCAGGATATTCGTGTGAAACATTCGTGAAACTATCTCCACCGCCTTATTTAATCCTACTTGTTCCGTCCCATTTGTTGTAGTTTTGCAGTTTTTCACCCTCCGCTTATCTACCACAAACAAATGGAGCCTTTTGAAAATAGCCTGGGACTGGCACCGCTTAAGAAGCATTTGTTGTCCACATCGTCGCCCGAAGGCATTCAGATTGCCTCCAAGATCACCGCCACCCGCTTGGCCGAGTTGTTGATTCGGAAGGGTCCCTTACCAATTCGTCATATCACTAGTCAATTGGCTCTTGAAGTACATGGTTTTGACTTGTTGTCATTGTCGAAGCAAAGACGGTTGATCATGGCTGCCATGGAGCAGACCGACGCCGCCCATAACGTGGTGTTTGAGAAGATTGGCTGGGGCCAATGGGCTGTTAGAAAGATTGACTCCGACTATATTGTGACGGAGGGAACTGAAGGTAATTTGTTCAACAAAGACGCCCCTGAAGCCACTTCCAACGACGAGCTGGTGCCTGTGAACCCTGCCAACAAACCACATATCAATGTCAAAGACTTGAGAAACCAACCCAACTTGAAGCTTGGGTGGACAAAGAAACAATCGGGAAAGACCTCCCGAAGAGAGAGTATCACTGGTAAGAAACCCAACTTGCACAATGTCAAACTTCCCACTGACATATTGAGCAGTAGTGCCATTGCATCGGACTCGGACCAAGACGAAGAGGACGAAGATGATCTTATTGATGCAGTTATAGGGGATGAGAGTTCCAGTGACAACGACGAGGAAAGCTCAAGTGCAGACGAAAGTGACCTGGACGAGTTGTTCCAGTTCGATCATGACAACACATCCAAGCGGTCTCCGCCCATAAAGTTTGCCAATAGGGTTCCATTGAAGTTAAGTCCTCCTCCCACCACCCACCCAACCAGAAGGAAGTCTTCTAGTTCCAACAGCGTCAACAAAAACACAAACTACAATCCTAGATACCAAATATTCAACCGGTCCAGACTTAATTCGTTGGACAACTTGGATAACTACATCATCTCGTCTGCCAAAAATTCCAACGGGTCCTTCAGCTCTCCTCCACCACCACCACCCAACGTGGCAGCCGCGGCATTGTCAGGATCACCACTCTCGTCGTGGAACTCCAATGCCTACTTGTCGAAGTCCCCGGACTCGTTGATGATGACCAAAAATGGAAACAGACGAAGATCCTCGTTTAACGAGTCTCACATTCGATCCACCTTATCGGCATCAGTCCCTCGGGTAGCGTCAAATGGTCCCTCCCACAAGAACAGTTATCCCTCGACCACCACTTCCAATCTCACGTCTAATGTCAACTCTCCTGCGATGAACCCCAATACCAGAAACGCTTCAAGCATGTCAGACACCGATGAAGAAGACTGGGCTACCATTGGCCCCGAAAGCTTGCGAAAACGTCATGACGACAAGGTCCAAGACGAAAAGGAAACAAAGGCCGCTGCATTCGCATTAGTTGATCTAATGTCTGTATGAACCCAAAGATACCTTTTAGGAATCTTTTTAATGACTCTTTAGTTCTTGTGTTACACCTTCCACCAATTGTTTATGATCTTGTTTAGATTTATTCCATGTTTTAATTCCCTTTATAGAAGCCTATTGTTACAAACCATTTAATGTACTGATTTACGCCTGCCTTCCCAAAACGGGTAAATAGGATACGTGAAAATTTGAGAGACGCGTACATTCCCGTTGTGAAAAAGCACCAGAAAAAGTTTTTGAAATTCCAACTACACGTTTGCACCGCTTAAACCATGTCCACAACCACTTCCACCGTGTTGCCATCCATTCAGTTGGACATTAACTATACTGAAATCAAGAAGTCCTTGAAGGAATTCTTACAATCTTTCAAGTCGAGTATAGAAGATGTATCGATGGATACCGATAACGAACTAATTTATGGGCCAAAATACATGAATCTTCTCCAACAGGTTTCCAACAGAGAAGTGTCCACTATTTACATCGATTTGAACGACTTAAAGGCGTATGAGGCCAATAACGGCTTCGATGGCCAGATTCCCAGTCAAGTTACTTCCAGGCTGAAGTTGACAGATAACATCCTTGAAAACACTTACCGATACGTGGAGTTGTTTTCCAGTATAATAGACGAAATCATGCCCAATCCCACCAAGGACATATCTGCCACCGATGACGTGTTGGATGTGATCATCCACCAACGGCAATTGAAGAATCAGAGGGTTTTACAAGAAACTGCCGATGAGGTAAACAACTTGAGAACCGGGTTCAACGACCAGGTGGGAGAAAATCAACAGCCACAGGAAGAGGCAGAAAACTTGTTCCCGCCTAAGTTGACCAGACGGTACTTCTTGTACTTCAAGCCTCTCATTACTCAAAACAAGCCGATGTCGGTGAGAGAAATCAAAGGAGAGCACATCGGTAAGTACATCACAGTGAGAGGTATTGTCACCAGAGTCTCCGACGTGAAGCCTTCGGTGATTGTCAACGCGTACACTTGCGACAAATGTGGATATGAGGTGTTCCAAGAAGTCAATTCCAAGGTTTTCACCCCTTTGAGTGACTGTAATTCTGCTGTTTGTAAGAATGATAACGTCAAAGGACAGTTGTTCATGTCCACTAGGGCCTCCAAGTTTTCATCGTTCCAAGAAGTCAAGATCCAAGAGTCGACCAACCAGGTTCCTGTGGGACATATTCCCAGGTCGTTGACAATCCACGTAAATGGTGACTTGGTCCGGTGCTTAAACCCAGGAGACGTTGCTGATATTTCGGGAATCTTCTTACCATCTCCATACACTGGATTCAAGGCCTTGAGAGCCGGGTTATTGACCGAAACGTACTTGGAAGCCCAACACGTCTACCAACATAAAAAACAGTACGAAAGCTTGGAAATCACTCCAGCCATTGAAGCGAAAATCCAAGACTTGTTTCAGCAAGGAGGTATCTATAATCGGTTGGCCAAGTCCATTGCTCCCGAAATATACGGCCATTTGGACGTGAAGAAGATCTTGTTGTTGTTGTTATGTGGAGGGGTTTCCAAAGAAATTGGAGACGGGTTGAAGATCAGAGGTGACATAAACGTTTGTCTCATGGGTGATCCAGGGGTGGCCAAATCCCAATTATTGAAGGCCATTGGCAAGATTGCCCCCAGATCCATCTACACCACTGGTAGAGGTTCATCAGGTGTCGGTTTGACGGCAGCGGTGATGAGGGATCCTGTCACCGATGAAATGGTTTTGGAAGGAGGAGCGTTGGTTTTGGCCGACAACGGGATCTGCTGTATCGATGAATTTGATAAAATGGACGAGAGTGACAGAACTGCCATTCACGAAGTCATGGAACAGCAAACGATTTCTATTTCCAAGGCCGGTATCAACACCACCTTGAATGCCAGAACCTCGATTTTGGCAGCTGCCAATCCCTTATATGGAAGATATAACCCCCGGTTGTCCCCCCACGAAAACATCAACTTACCGGCGGCGTTGTTGTCGAGATTTGATATCATGTTCCTTATGTTGGACCAACCTTCGAGAGAATCGGATGAGAAGTTGGCAGCCCACGTCGCCTATGTTCACATGCATAACAAACAACCAGATATCGACTTCGAACCATTGGACCCAGCCACCATAAGACAGTACATCTCGATTGCCCGTACCTATAGACCGGTTGTTCCCAGAGAGGTGGGTGACTACGTGGTACAAGCCTACATCAACTTGAGAAAAGAGTCTCGGAGAAATGAAGGATCCATCAAAAAGTTTCAACACATCACCCCCAGAACCTTGTTGGGTATTTTGAGATTATCGCAGGCATTGGCCAGAATTAGATTCGATAATATTGTTACCAACGAGGATGTGGATGAAGCCTTACGGTTGATTGAAATTCTGAAGGCTTCGTTGTTCACCGATGATCAAAAGTTGAGAGAGGACGACAGTGCCACTACCAAAATCTATCAAATCGTCAGATCCATTGCCATGGGAGATGGATCTCAATTCTCCAAGACCTTGAAGGTGGACGAGTTGCGGCAACGAATCATTGCCAAGGGTTATACCATTGAGCAATTTATGGATTGTATCTACGAATACCAAAGTATCAACGTTTGGCAGTTGATCGACGACGAAGACAAAATCATGTTCATTGACGACGGGGATGATGTCGAACCTGAAGACATGCAGTATTGAGCACTCCAATTGTACTAATAAATAAAGAGCTGTTAGCACAAAGGGTGAGTTGACATGAGCTCTATTCAATTGTACTAATATATAAAGAACGTCACTGTTAGGACAAAGGATGAGTTGGCATGAGCTCTATTCAATTGTATACTAATAAATAAATACCAAGAACAAATGTTTATAACGGTGACAAGTTAAGCTCTATTCAATTGTACTGTAACCCTGTTTGTGTTCCCGCAGGCTGCGCATGGATCAACTTCGCAGCTTTTTGCTCTTATCTGTAAAACACATTTTATACTTAGAAATGCCACTTCGTCGTACCAGGTCCAGAGTGCCGTCCGAATCCCAGGCCACAGATACATACAACACGTTCGAATTGCATGGCATAGCACTATCGCCGCGCCCTTCTGAACTCGAGTCAATCGTGTCCATTAGCTCCAACGACACCATAGATAATGCCCACCACACAAGTACCCCGGCGCCAGGTTCTCCCCAGTCGCAGTGGATCCGGCCCTTTGTGTACCTCACGTCGGTGGTGCTTGCGAATCAGGGGTCTGTGGCCCGAGATCACGTATGTATCATTGATCACCAAATGTGTACTTCTTGATCCACCACATCAGTACCATCAAACACGTAACTAGTATACTAACAGAGCAGATGGCCAACGAGCGGACGTTCCTCGCGTGGCTCAGAACAGGAGCTATTTTCGTCACCCTTGCAATCACCTTTTCCCAATTTATCTTCATCACCAGAGCCGCCGACTCAGTTACTGCCAACGGCGAACAGTATGATCTTGATGAAAGCTTCAAGGCGCAAGTGGCACAATTGAATCGGTTCGGAGTGGTGATAGAGATCATGTGCATGTGTTTGGGGCTATTCTCCCTTTTGGCAGGAGCCTTCCGGTTCTTTCACATCCAGACGCTTTTAATCCAAAATAGGTTTCCTACGACCCGGCTTGTAATTCTATGCATGGTGGCGACCGCTGCCGTCATGATATCATTGTTAATTGTTTTGGATGTCAAACTTTATAGGTGAAAAATCCCAGTCAATTGTTCGCGTCGTTGAGAATTAAACTGTTGATTGTTTTCAATATATCGCCCTAAACACACAATGTCTGACTATATTGCCAACACCGTTCCTCAGTTGAAGGAACTTTTGAAAGCTAGAGGCTTGCCTCTTGACGGGAAGAAGGCTGATTTGATTGCCAGATTATCTGAAAGTGATGGAGTGGCTGAGGCTCCTGCCGAGCCTCAGCCTGAAATAGAGGCCACTCCAGCGGAACCTAAACCCAAAGACCCAAGTCCCGTGGCAGAGGGAGAGACTGCTGTACTGGCCCCAGCCGCGACTGAGGCAGTGGTAGAGAAGCCAAAGGTCTTGACACCAGAAGAAAGAAAGCTGCTCGCAGTGGACTTATTAACAAAGAAGATAAAGAGAGCTGAAAAGTTCGGAGATGAAGCTTCTGCTGAAGCCTCCAGAAAGGACTTGGCCCGAATTGAGAAGTTTGGGGTTGAGCCGGGTACCACGTTGGCGAAGGAAATAGGTTTGGTTGATAAGAGCTTCAACAGTGGTCTTGCAGAGCGGCTGTTTAAGAAGAAGAAGAACACTAAGTTTAAGAAGTTCAATCGTCGGAACTAGAAACAGACGTTAGTTATTGCTGCAAAAATAGGTATATTAATAGTAGAACTATATAATGCTGGAATCAATAATCATAAGTTCTTTTCGTCAACTGCCAACAGATGTTGTCCCTTAATCCAGAGCAAGAGCATGCCAATTCTCGTTACTCCTCATGTAATAATTTTTTGTTAAATTGAATTTACTGTTATGGCTGAGACTACCCGGTGCATGTTTCCGAAGCCGACTTGCATAAGGTACTTCCTCATAAGATATTACATGTTCTCGGCAAATTAGGGTAGGCACCTTTATGTCGTTTTGGAGTTCACTGTTCAAGCTCCCTATGTTTAACCCCACAAACGTTTTCAAGCCACTGAGTTCGACATGCAAACATTTTTCCTCTCTTTTGTTGAGTAAGGTTGGCTAAGCTAGGTGTTTTATCAGGCCCAAACGCAAAAGCCTTTGACAACAATGCCAAGAATAAAATGATTACAATAGACTCCCTTCATTGTGGCAGGTCTAAAACAAAAAATGCGTACTCAATTACTCCCCCACAAGTTGCAAAAAATATCTGATCGATAACTATTTAGTTTCCAGAACACCTATACACTTTCGGGGTCGGAGTCACCGTACGCTGGAGCCTCAAAATACTCCTTGTCATCAACTACCAACCCCTGGTTGCCCTTGATCCAGATGAAGAACACCCCGATAATCACTACTAAGGTAGTGACAATCATGTTCCACGTCTGGAAATATAAGAAAGTACTATCTTTGATCAACATATCGAGCGTCAAGTATGAAACCAACGCAGGATCGACGTTTGGACCAAAGTCTTGAATGAAATTGGCTCCACCGGAAACGCCCGCAATGATGCCAGCACCAACACCAAACAACATTGGCACTAAGAAAATTAAGCAAAGAGATCTTTTGAATGCCACTCTGATACCTTCATTCTTTTCACCGTAGTCCTCGACACTGGAACCATAAGGAGGGAATTCCTTGATATTTCTTAAAGTCTTGACACCCTGGATAATACTTGTGGTATACAAGATAAATTGGAAAAGCACTAAAGCACCTTCCACGACGGGAAAAGAATTAGCCAGGCCTGCAGCCAAGTCCAGGCTCGGGTTCGACGCAAACACCATAAACATGCCGTTGACACAAACCAACGCCAATTGTATACCACCCAAGATCTTGGCCATTCTCATCTTTGGAGCAGGAAGTTGTCTGTACGACTTTGTTTGCCGGTGGTAAAACACCACCCCATACCCCATGCAGAACAATAAAAGCATAATCAGAATACAAACTTGATAAAGGGAAGAAAAGATGGAAATCCCCAGCCGAAAGAACACACTGAGGAAACCCTTCTCGGCCACACAGTTGAGGATAAAGTCAGAGGCTAGGGTCATGATCATAATCCCAATATACGGCATTAAGATTAAGAAAACTGCCGACTTTGAAACCACAGAAATGTTGTTCAAGTTCAGAAAGTCCTTGCCCACGCTTCTGATCAAGTCTCTAAGCAACCATGCCGTCACAGCAATGTAAAGTAACAACCCCCACCGGCTTTCAGAGACTTCAATGTACTCGTAGAAATTCAAGTATCCGTAGGAATTCCGGACAATGATGGGTAAATCGTATGACACAACGTCGGCAGCCGGATCGACATATACACAGTACAATCCTGAGTCTGTCACATCAAAGTGGAGCTTGAAATGCTCGTCCTTGGAGTCTCCAACCAAATAGGAATTGAGATACTTATCTTCTCCAACAGAACCAGATACATCAAACTTCCCGTCCAGTGCCACGCTTCCGGCGGGGGCAGCTGCAATCGTGTCTGGAAGAGGAAGGCTCAGGAAGTTCTCGAGATCCTTGATGTGGAAAATAAGTGTAGGAACATTGATGTCTGATTCCAACCCCTTGGAGAGCACCTCCACAAAAGCATTTTTGCCATTGGCCTTGACCGGCACACACGCAGCTCTAAGCCTAGGCGTGAGGCGGATGTTACCAAACGCATCACTGCTAGCAGTGGCAATGGCCATGTGCAACACTGCCAATACTGAAATAATAAAAGTCCCTTTCATTAATATGATATGACTTTTTGCTCGCACAAATCTTATAATTAACTCAGAGCTGTCAAATTCTGGTCACGTGATCTACATCCACTACTTGCTAGGTGTTAAGCTGATGCCTGGTGGCGGTATTGGTTCACCAGAGTAGGTGTTATTTGCACCTGTACTCACTGACTTGCACATGTACTTCTATCTTGTGTCGCATCAAATATTGTGAAAAACATAAAAGCTACGACAAACACCACTTGCCATTTGTGCCATTTATGTGTTTGCGCCGTTTTTCACCGTTTTGCCGTTTTACAAACATCTCTTCTCCGTCTGATGTTTCGCAGCCCTACCGGAAATGGAAGCCTATAGCTAGGTTTGCCACACATAAACTCACCACCACGCCATGCCCGCAGCTGGCACCAACTAACTTTACACGGCACGGTGTGCTTCGTCCCGCCACTGGCGTAAATATCTCTTCATTGGGTGCTCATGCGTCTCGCGCTATTGAAGCTGAAAAACGCAGCATTTTTCTCACCACCAATGTCTTCTCCAAAACCATACTATGATGCGTTGCCCAGCGCCTTTGTGCCTACTCATTACGATGTGGCGGTGTATGACATCGACACCGAAGCCAATACCTTCAGCGGGACCGTGAAAATTGTTTTGGACGTCAAGGACGCAACCGACGAGTTGAGTCTTAACTACAGATCCCTTGTGGTGAAGGCAGAAAACGTTTTGATTGAAGTTCCTGGCTCTCAGGAAACAATCATCAGGGCCGTTTCGGTGACGGAGTTTGCAAAAAAGGACTTTTTCGTCATCAAATTGGACACAACTATCGACCCTATTAAGATACCCCAGATAGTAGCCACCATAAAATACGATGCTTTTATTCAGACCAATATGACAGGGTTCTACCGCTCCGAGTACACCGAAGGTGATGTGAAGAAGGTGATGTTGTCGACGCAGTTTGAGGCTCCTGACGCCAGAAGAACGTTTCCGTGTTTCGATGAGCCTGCTTTGAAAGCTACCTACAGTGTCAGTGTCACCATCACCAAACAATGGACAGTGTTGTCCAACATGCCAGTGGCCACTGTGAGCGATGCCGGTGACGGGCTTGCTACTCACTTGTTCCAAAAGACTCCTCGAATTTCGTCTTACTTGGTTGCTTGGGCCTGTGGAGACTTTGAATATGTGGAAAGTTTCACCCAGGAAAAGTACTTGGACGACAAGCCATTGCCGGTGCGCATCTACACGACACCGGGCTACTCCAAGAACGCCCAGTTTGCGTTGGAAATCGCCCCCAAGGTCATTGACTACTTCTCCCGGGTGTTTGAGGTTAAGTACCCATTGCCTAAAATGGATCTTTTGACTGTCCACAGCTTTTCCCACAACGCCATGGAAAACTGGGGGTTGATCACCTACCGGAGCAACGCCCTTTTGTTTGACGAGGAGACCTCGGACGCATCGTTCAAAAAACAGGTGTGCTATGTGGTATGCCACGAGTTGGCTCACATGTGGTTTGGTGATCTTGTGACCATGAAATGGTGGGATGAGTTGTGGTTGAACGAAGGGTTTGCGACTTGGGTGGGCTACATCGCCGTCGACTATCTTTTTCCCGAGTGGAACATCCTCAATATGGTGACCCATGAGTCGTTGCAAGTGTCTCTTACTTTGGATGGGTTGCGAAGCTCACATCCAATCCACGTGCCCGTGGTGGATGCCGTTGATGTGGACCAGATCTTTGATGCCATCTCCTATCATAAAGGGTGTTCTATCATTGCCATGCTTTCAAACTACATTGGCAAGGAGGTGTTTTTGAAGGGTGTGGCCAAGTACTTGCAAGAAAACCAGTTTGGCAACGGATCCACCGCTAACTTGTGGGACGCGGTGGGCGAGGTGTCTGGTAAACCAATTTCTTCCATGATGAACCACTGGGTCACCAAGATCGGGTTCCCGTTGATCAATGTTGAGTTGAATGGGAAGGATTTGGTGTTGACGCAGTCGAGGTTTTTGAGTACTGGTGATGTGAAAGAAGAGGACGACACCACTGTTTGGTGGGTTCCTTTGAACATTTCTTGCGGCTTGGAGGATGATGCCATTGTCGAGGATATTGCGGTGGATTCGTTTGAGTCGAAGAGAGTGGTGATTGGGAACTTTCCCACTGGTGATGGGTTCTTCAAGTTGAACAAGAACTCGACCGGCTTCTACAGAGTCAACTACTCTCAGGAAGTCATTGACAAACACATCTTGCCATATATGGATAAGTTGAGTCCCAGAGATAAAATAGGGTTGTTCTCCGACGTGGCTGCAGTGGCGATATCTGGGTTGGGGTCGACTCTGACGGTCACGTTGTTGACGTTGATCAAGTCCATTGTGGATGCTGACCAGTTGGGTGACGACTACGGTGTTTGGCTTGGATTAAATGAAATTTTGGGCAAGTTACGGGTGGTGTTCTCAGGAGACGAAGAGGTATGTACTGGCATAGACAGTTTCTTGAGATTCGTCTATAGGAAACTTGGAGCTGAACTTTTGCAAGAGGTAAAGTCGAACCATGATCTCAGTGAGACTGACTTTAGAAAGGTCATTTTGATTACCACAGTTTTCAGTGCTTCAGGTGGGCTTGGAGTCCCTGAGTTTGTCGAGTATGCCAAAGAATCGTTCGAGACCTGGAAAAACACCGGGAAGATCCACCCAAACTTGACGTTCTTCATCTTTTCTACTATGGCAGGACTTGAGGACTTACAACAAGAAGATTTTGACAGAATCGTCAAGGAAATCACCGATCCCAGCTCGTTGGACTCGAGAGAACAAGCGGTCAAATCCTTGCCTTCAATCTCCAACATGAAATACGTGGAGCCTTTGTTGGGCATGTTAAAAGATACGTCTATTGTTCCGTTGATGGACAGCCATTACATGGCCGAGGCATTTACCTTGAACCGGAAAACCAGAGATCGCTTCTGGTCTTACTTTAAAGAAAACTACGGTGATATCCATGCGGAGTTGGCTACCAACGTTCCAATTCTCGAACGGTTCATTAGGTTTGCATTTGTCAACTACCAGTCGGAAGAAATGTACAAAGATGTTGAGGAGTTCTTTGCTGTCAAGGGCATCACCGGATTTGAAAGAAGTTACAGACAGGCGGTGGACACCATCAAAACTAATAACAGCTGGTACAAAAGAGACCTCGGAGTCGTCAAGCAGTGGTTGCTGCAAAACGGGTTCGTATAAAACCGCTAGTCTAGCATTCTATAATATTATGATATTACAATTAACTATATCAATGTCAACCTCTAGGCCTTGTCCACCTTTTGTTCGTGGATGGTAGCATATCTACCAGATGGGTCGGCGTGACAGCCCCATTCGGCTTTAGGAATCCATCTCATCACTGTGGAAGCAGCCGCAGAACTGTTTCCGAAAATGTCGTCGAACTTGCATCTGTACCAGTAAGCTTCCTTGGTAGTAGGAATATCATCACCCCATTCAGGTTTAGGGTTGGCCAATTCTTCATCTGAAACAGCAGCTTCGGCGGCATCCTTTAACCCGTCAATCCAAGAGTATCCTACCCCGTCAGAAAATTGCTCCTTTTGTCTCCACAAGATTTCTTCTGGTAAGTATGGTTTGGCAGATGGATCGTCAGAAGTATCAAAAGCCTTTCTCAAGATGTACTTTTCAATCCTACCCTCCTTTTGGTTGATCAACTTGTCTTCTGGGTTGATGTTCATGCACACTTCAAGGAACTGTTTGTCCAAGAAAGGAACTCTGGCTTCCAAACCCCAAGCCATGGTAGACTTGTTGGCTCTCAAGCAATCGGCATAGTGCAAGTTCTTGACTCTCTTGACACACTCTTCATGGAAGTCCTTGGCAGATGGAGCCGCCGCAAAGTACAAGTATCCTCCGAAGATCTCATCCGAACCTTCACCAGATAACACCATCTTGACACCTTGAGCCTTGATTTTTCTGGACAATAAATACATAGGAGTGGAGGCTCTGATGGTAGTGACATCGTAGGTTTCCAAGTGGCTGATGACGTCGTTCAAAGCGTCCAAGCCTTCTTCCAACGTGAAGGTGTGGGAGTGGTGAATGGTACCAATAAAGTGGCCCACTTTTTCAGCAGCCACCAAATCAGGGGCTCCAGGCAAACCAATGGCAAACGAATGCAATCTGGAGAATCCAGCCGTGTGCAACGAGCCTGACTCGTCTACACCCGACAATTCTTTGTTGGCATCGATACCTTCACTGGACTGCTTGGAGTTTGCCTTTTGGGTTTCTCTGGCAGCAATAGCAGCAATCAAAGAAGAATCCAATCCTCCCGACAACAACACCCCATATGGCACTTCAGCCATCAATCTCTTTCTCACAGCCAATTCCAACGACTCTCTCACCTGCTTGTAGTCGACATGAGCGGTTGGAACCTTAGATTCCTCCCACCAGCTGGGAGTGAAATATCTCACCATCTTGTCGGTGACTGAGTCGTAAACATGGCCGGGAGGGAAAGCGATGATCTCATCACATTCGTCGGTCATACACTTCAACTCGGAGGCGAAATATCTGGTTCTTGGCGATTTGGAGTTCTTACCCATGTACAAAGTGGTGATACCAATGGGGTCTCTGGCAGCCACGATTCTATCGTTCTTCTTGTCATATAAAACCCAGGCAAACATCCCGTCCAAGTACTTGGGAGCATCGGTATCGTATTTTTGGAACAAAGGAATGATGGGTTCACAGTCACTCAAAGATTTGAACTGGTAATCTTTGAGTTCGTCTCTCAACTTTATGTGATTGTAGATTTCTCCGTTGACAGCCAACGTGAAGTTGCCATCGGGAGACACGATGGGCTGGGCACCACTGTCCAAGCCCACAATGGCCAATCTTTCGTGGCATAAGATGGTATCGTTTTGGATCACGTTACCAGACCAATCTGGTCCCCGATGTCTGATTCTCTTGGAGTTTTGCAACGCCTTTTCTTTGAATTGCTCAACGTCAGGTTGTCTGAAAGCAGCGTAAATTCCACACATGGTTTTTCAATATGTATTTCTATGTTACAGGAAGTGGCTGTAATGGGGTTTGAGGTTGTTTTATAAACTTACAAACGGTTCCAGCTTTATGAGTCAATAATTTTCAAAAAAAATTTTCAGCGGTGACTCAAGAAAATGCGACTTACTTTATCGGGTTCCTGATAGGGACCCGGGCTGACTACTAAATTCCGAAGTTTGATTTCGGTTTTTGCACCAGGTGTGGTATGGGTAGGGCGTGATACGCCTATGGTCTATATGGTGTATGTGTCCTGACCTGTGGTCTACTATGGTGTATGGGTCCTTACCTGTGGTCCCGGTGTTGAGTGTGGTTTAACTATTTACAGACTCTAGAGCTTTCTGACCTCCTCAAGAAGAAAGTCCGATAACATAATCAACCCCGTAGAGTTGTACAACTGATACATATCATTGTTCTGGTATGTGCCTTTAAGCATTTCCCCTTTATCGCTCACTTGTAAATACCCAAATACACTATCAATCTCAGGGATTCGGCCATACCGGGGTACGTCTCTGAGATCGTAAATGGGCATGAATGAGTTCGCATTAACGCTGGCCTCCATTATGAACGTGAAGTCTTCGTGGACCCTTTCACCTATTAGTTGGTTCAACTTTGGAAGGAATTGAGGGTTTGGAACAAAAGCTTCTCTGGTGAGATCGGGCGTGGCAAACAGACCAATCGCCAACGAGTTCTCGGCCTTACCAAAACTGATCTTATACGACGGATGAAGGTAGATCTGTTTTGTGAGCTGGGAAATAGACCTTGTAAATAGTTTGGTGTTCATTGCGGTGGCAGTGAAATATTTGCAGTCTCACTCGTCTGCATCACCAGCTCCCGCGCGCGACTCTAAATCTCAAACTCACCAGTGGCGAAACCCAACCACAAACGTAATGTCTTTGCAATCCATCACGCAAGAGTTGTACGGCACTTTCGAACAAGAGGACTACGAGAAATGCCAGCAGTTGTTGGTTCCGTTGAAAATCGAATTGATTAAGCACAACTTGTTGGTACCCATCACCACTGACTCCACCACCAAAGACCAGATAAATGATTTCAAAATTAGCCAGAAGATCTTGGAAATCGGGGCCTTGTCGTCGTTGTTGTTGAACAAAACACAAGTGTTTGAAAACTACTACTCACATTTGAAGCCATTTTACTCCAATTCAAAGATACACTTGAAGAAAGAGCACAACACCACCTCCACCAAGATTATCTCGTTGTATTTACTCTTATTATTGTCGCAGGGATTGGTCTCGAAGTTTCACATCGAGGTAGAACACTTGACATTCTTCCAGCAGTATGACTTGGACTCTGATAAGTACTTACAGTTCCCCATCAACTTGGAAAAGCATTTGATGGAAGGGAACTATATCAAGATTTGGAATTTATTGAACGACGAAAACAACCTTCCATGTAAGGAGTACATCATGTTTGTGGACACCTTGGTCAATGCCTTACGGTATGAAATTGCAAAGTCTTTGGAAAAAACATACGCCACGATCCCAATCAGCAACTGCAAGAACTTACTCTACTTCCCCCAAGAAGAATCCGATATGATCTTTGAAGAGTCTCTTAAGGAAGACTTGGGCATGAATTGGACGTTTAAGAATGGATACGTGTTCTTCAACAGCTCCACTGACGATAATGACGAATTCAAACACGACAAATCCAACAAGATCATCACCAATGTGTTGAACTACGCAGAGCAAATAGAGTCGATTATTTAGAAATCCAGTATAATTATATTCTTCTTAACTATTCTAATTTCAGATAAAAGTTTTTATACGCAATGTTCAAGTCATTAAGAAACTCTTCGATCTCTTCGCTGGGCAACTCTTTGTCCTGCAAATTGTTTAGCTTTATCAACCAAGTAATTAACTTGGACTTTCCATGGAAGTCGAGATTATTATTATCTTCAGTCAACTCATTAAGATTGATAACGAGCTCCGATAAAAGCGGATGAAGTTGATCCTTATGTTTGTAGTTCAACTTCAAGGCATCCATGCATGTTATGAAGTTACTGGTGGCTTCTGCTATCAATCTAGCGTTCTGATTCGATCCCAGCTGTCCATTCACGGGTGTAGAATTGGTTCTAGTCGACATTTGGCTTCCGATGTCCTGGTCCTGGCCTCTTATGGTTACAGGTACTCCGCTTGTCAATCTCTTGATTGCCAACGGACATGCTGGGTTGAACATTTGGGAAAAACACTCGAGAAACTCGTCAAAATTTCCGTTCAAATTGGTCATTAAAGCATTGCAGATGTCTATTTTTGCCTGATCTTCCTTGAATCCGTTTACTATGATCTGATACTGGTTGATGAGACGTAGCGATGTCGATGTGTACTTCTCTTTATCAGTGATATAGTCCTTTATGTACGAGTTTTCGATCAACTCTAGCACCGAGAGAATTGAGTATATCTCTGCGAGCGAGTTGTACACATCTTTGTGGAGCGGCGAGGATATCAATGATGCTCGTGTTACCTCCTTGTGGTAGTTAGTTGTCGGCACCGTGTAGCTGGTGGTGGAGGTGGGTGCATAACTCGGTGGTTGAGACATGATTAGTGAGGAAAGAAGAGGGAAGTCGCGCGAAGCGGTTGCTAAAAATCATAATTCATAGTATCGTTAGTGGTTAGTCAATATATGAGCCTATAGGTTGGGGAGTTCCGAACGAGTCGAAGCTGAAACCCAACTTAACCCAGTCATTTCTATTGGACTTGTAGATTTGAAGAGGTGCCTTGAACCTTGAGAGCGAGCTGGTGGAGTCCTTGGTGTTATATGACTGTGCTAGCTGGTTGATTAGGGTTTTTCCAAATATCTCACTGGAAATCTTACACTGGTTGATGATCCAGTTGAGAAGATACTCGCTAGACGTCTTGTTGTACGGACTTAATACTATAGGGATTCTGACCGTGAAATCCTTACCATGGACGAGTTTGAGCTTGAGAAGAATCTCGTATCTGATGGAAAAGAGCTTTCCAACCGTAGTGAAGTTCTGGTAGTGGGTCATGGGGATCCCCTCTATGAGCTTAACCTGATTCTGTTTGTGGTTCATATGGTTGTCGATATGCACAGGGACATTGTCTTGGTAGCTGTCGAAATAGGTGTATTTCTGCAAACTGGACTCATTCTTATCGAAGATGGAGAGAAAGTCGCTGTTGGTAGGTAACTTAAACCCGTAGTTCAAGGATATTTCGTTGTTCAAGTTTAGTTCCTTGCCATCCTTCAAGTCTTCTATGATCGTGATATCTTTATATGGTGGTAGTCCACCTTCGTGGCATTCCAACACTTCTTTTAACTGGAAATTTAGGGTTTTGACTCGCAACTTACTGCTGACATTGTAGTTCAATGAGTTTTTCATAATCTTAACCGCCAAGTTCAATGAGTCTCCTGGACCCAAACACAGCTCTTGCAACTTATACTCGACTATCAACTGCTGGTCACCCGATATCACACTTTCATTAATTGACTCGGTGAACTGCCGGTATATGGGGAGCGCGTCATACAACTTAACGGCAATAGGGAACAGCTCCATGAACCCAGTCTCCGTTTCGGCAGACTCTCCCACCATAACTCGCACAATCAAGTTATGGACGGTGCTGGCATTCCAGTTCAAGTTGTAGCCACTGGAAATAATGTCTTTGGGGAGAGATATCAACACCGGCAAGTCAAGACCAATTAAGTTTTCAGCAGTGAAGTTTCCAAAAGTGGGATTGAACACAAACGGATCCTCGTACAACTTGTACTCCTGTGTGGATTCGTTGGATCCTAAGGTGGACGGTATGCTTACTCGTTGAGTAGTTCTCAATTCGATGCCCACCGATCTTAAGGTAAATGGTTGGCCATTGATGGATCTGATCAAAAGCTTGGTTTCGATTCGAGGAACCGACCGAGGGACACCCGGACACCCAATAACAAGACTTGTTTGTGTGGGTTCCAACTCCACCGTAACAGGGCATGGTACTTTGACCATTATGGAGGCAAATGAGATGGTTCTAACGGTAAACAAACCATCGCGACTGATGCGAAAAAAGGCTTGTACTGCCAAAAATAGACAGCAGATCCTGGGTCCAGATGGGGATAGTACTATGGGTGTCTGGGTCTGATGATATCTGAGGCCATTATATATAATATGAGCGTACATACGGGTGCATGGGTCAAATCACCACACAAATGGAACTAATTTATAGGGAATTTTGAACTTCTCCTTGAACTTGTCCTGGTAGTACTTGTACGTCTGACTGGAACTATTAGAAAGGTTTAATACCACTAAGCACCAAATCAACACAAAGTCCACTTGTATCCACCTGATGTCTTTACAGCACAAATAAAACCTCATTATACATGAATACAAAATGATTTCATCAAGATAGTGTGGAGATGCACAGTATTCAAAGAGACGGAACGACGGAATTGTGTACTTGACAAGCTTGGCCAAGTGTTGGTGGTTTTGGAATTGGTCCATCAGATAAGTCAAAAACACTCCGATAAAAAGCCAGTCAGACATGTCCAACTCGACTTTGTAGTTGTTGGATTGACCATAGATGTAGTAGGGTAAAATGCCCCCAAAGTTAACGGAGGCAACCATCCAGTAGTACAGCAACCCAAACACGTAGTGGAGAATGTTCATGGAAACGTCGGAAAACTGAGACACAAATAAGCATTCGTATAACCGTCTGAAAGACTGGATCATGAGCAAGTTGGAGATCACATACAAATTTTTATAGTTTTGTTCCGAGGTAAGATAGTTGGTGTAGAATCGTTCGTAGAAGCTGGCAAAGAAGTCATTGACTTGAGGAAAAGCGTTAGTGTTGAAATTCCATTCCACAAAGGCGTTAATTACCATAAGCAAAGCAAAGAAGACATAGAAATGGAGGAAATACTTCTTTGGAACGGTGATTTTGTGCACTCTGACAAACACTCTCTCCCAGATATTTTGGGGAATGTACAGGGGATTATTTGGCTGGTTGGCATAGTTTTTACCATATAGAACTATTCTGGAAGAAACATTTTCGGAGCTGGCAATGATTAGGCCCATCAAAAGACTACTGGCCAAAAGAGCCACCCAATGGTCGATGGTGAAGTCAGATAAGAGCTCGTACATGAGCTTGAAGAACATGATGTTCAGGTTGACCTGCTCCACCAAGATGTGTTTAATTGAGTCCATTGATGAGAAGTTGAAATAGAATGGAGCCGTTCAAGATATGCGAAAGAGCCCTTCGCGATTATCGCACTATCGGCATTACTGCGACGACTGCAAAATCTACCCTTTTTATTATATTAAAACTATACCAATTCTCTAACGACCAATGTACTTTTTCTCAAAAGGTCTTGTAATATTATAGGCGATGAAGGAGAACCCAGCGGCCAACTCGAAACCAACATCTCCACCATAATCTCCAATTTTTTTAGCAATTGGACCCATGTACCAGACCTGGTTCAATCCACAAACGGCACCAGCAACCCCGGCAAGGAATGCAAAAGTACCCGCAAGTCCCAAGGGGTGCGACTTTGGATCCTTGTGGTTTTCGTAGTCGTAAGCACCAAAGTTGTTCTTGTTGTAAATGAAATGTTCGGACAAAGCAATGGCTTGGTAAATGGCCAAATAGTAACCAATCATGTTCATAAAGTTGTCAACAACGTCTTTGAAATCGTAGTAAGCTGGAATACAAATAGCCAAGGTCACAAAGTTTCCGACAATGGTCCAGACGACTCTTGGAACCTTGATCAAAGGAGACCAGAAAGCTTGGGCAGATAAAGCAATAGAATACATGTTTGGTACGTTATTGGCAATGGTAGACAAGGCCAAAAGCACACACAAAAATTCTCCAAACTTGTGCAAAGAATCTTCGACCAAAATGGCGTAAACCAATCCTCCAATGGAGTATTCGTTGTACAATTCGGCCCATCTAGTATTGGTGATGGTACCTGTAGCACAAGCAGCTCCCAAAACCATGGTGAATACCAAAGGAATGTACAATCCGGCAATAACCCACGCAAAGATCTTGTAAGAGTTCACGTCTCTTGGTTGGTAGACGGTATAATCGGAAGCGTAGGTAGTCCATCCGGTTGCGAAACCAAAGATGGCACCTCCAAACGACAAGACATTACCAGCAGTGGTGGCACCACCAACCATCTCACCACCATAGCTGTCCTTGAAAGTAAAGGTCTTAGACATGGTCATTCTGGCGATGATGGCGAGGAAGACCGCCAAGTTGGGTACCCAGGACCATTTTTCGTACTGGTGAATGACGTTGTAACCGAAAAAAGTAACAAGAATCGTACACACAATGATGATGATACAAGCGGCCCATGGAGGACAAGCCTGGTTGTTGACAATGTTGATCAACTGGGCTGAACTCATGATGTTCACAGCACCCCAACCAATACAAGCAATGACATTAACAAAAGCAAAAATTCTCATGGTGATGTTTCCCACCAAGAACTTGGACAACAATATTTGTCTCATACCCAACTTGGGTCCGAAGATAGAAAAGTAAGCGACTCCAAACACTCCCAAAAGGTTGAAGAAAAGAATCAGCAATACCGCTTGCCAGAAGCACAAGCCAAATACCGTGACACCAAGACATCCCAAAGCGTAAGTAGCAATGACAAAATTGGCAGAAAACCACATGGAAGCGGCGTTCCAAAGCGAGTCATCGTGCTTTTCTTCGTCGGTGATGATTTCAACACCTTTGGTTTCGGCATTCAATCTAGAAGCCAAATTATTGATAAAACCCAATTTGGTGTGAGTGACATCTCCGGTGTCTTCAATGGAGTGATCCGCCGAAGTGAAACTCTTCTTCTCGATGTCGAGGCCGATATCTTTTTCCTGAGACATAGAGTGGGTGTGGGTTTTTCCTACAATAATTTTTGAAAAATCCAGGATAACCTCAGGTCTTATATCCTTATTTTTTTACCTTATCAATATTAGAAGAGATACAACGAACGCCTTCCTGTAAAAAGAAAATTTTTTTGCCAAACCCTCACAAAATTCGAAACGGTGCAGGAACCTGCAAGAACGACATTTCTTGGAGGTTACCGGCATCTCCTCGGAGAGATAACAATATACTTTTTAGGGCTTGTGGGGGTAGATTTGTGGTCTTAATCTATTTGTGGTGGATCCTGGGGTAACGGTGGTGATGCTCACCGCTAAATAAACGGGTGGTGGTGATGGTGGTTTGAGGTGGCTTTCTTCGCATGGGTTTTGCTTAGTCGTGAAAGGGTTTTTCCGCCCGCTAGTCCCAAAACTGCAACACCATGCGAACAGATGAACCACTCAAAAGCAGTCCCAGGATTGACCTGAGCCCTTTTGGGTACCACTGCTGATTGGGTGCGGGTGCTGGTCAGGTGACTAGGTTTGTGGTGGGCCTGTACCTGGGTGTTTGGGTCAAGATTTTGTCCCGGGGTCAGAATCTCGGTGGGTGTTTGGGTCAACTACCAGTATTTAGAAACTCCATCAGCCCCCGATGACCAGGCCCAAATCTGGCCCATACACCCACAACTGCATAGGTGTCGGCTGTGAGATCCGGTAGCGCTACGACTTTTCACCGTTGAGTTAGCAAATGGTTCCAAATTTGGTGGCCACCCGCTCGTCTTGGATTGTTTTTCCGGGACAAGAGCCGTACGCCAATTATGTACAAGTGCACCACCAGCGACTTGAAAAGATCAAAACTAGTTCAAGGGTTGTGGTGATACGACTGATTTCAGCACCGGCCGCAAGGGATTGTTTGATCAATACCATCGGCTGCAAAAACTGTGTATCTTGAGAGTTGGGCCCGAGAATGGTCGACCCTCTGACGGAGGAGCCCGCCCTGGTGGCCCAACATGTAGAAAGTGTCGCGCAGATGTCGCGTGGTCGCTCCCAACCTAGGTGAAACGGCACTTTTTCAACCCCTATACACTCCCATATGTCCTTATACCAGAATGCTGCATGATCGATGCATGGTAATCTCCGCGGGGGTGCCGTATCCTCTCCACCAATAGATCCCGGTCCCACCCCTGTGTTACTTGGATATTGCCTGAGAATCATACCAGTAGATATCTACATTAGTTTTGACGCTATACTCAGTGGTGCATCTGCTCGGTCATATCCATCTGCTGGTGGTCCCCTTTGTAACTGCCTCGAAAATACCACTTTTCTAGTTAATAGACGAAAGTCGAAGAAATTAACCGAAAGGCTGCGAACGAATGCAGTTTAAAGGTATGCATAAGAAGTTGTAAGGCAACTACAGGGGCAATGTCGACAGAAACCCTTTTAAAGTTAACTGCTGATAGTTGTGAGAGCATGGTATTGGTATACGTGGTATATGTAGTATATGTGTGGGTATTATGGTTGTGGAAATCTCCCTAGTATTTGGATAAGGGAATGCGATAAGCAAAATCTGCACCGATCCTGTGCGGAGGTACGATGAGATTTTCATATGGAGAACTCTCCTTAGAGCTAAGAGCTCGGAAATGGTTTGTTGTTGAAGAGCTCAATTATCTAGGTCTCTACATGTGTCTTCTAATTACATGAACATTGTCTATTCTTCTGTCCAATTGAGTTATTCATTAGGAAGTTTAGAATTTTGTAGAGGGGGGAGTTTTTCTCCTCAACAGGGTAGGTCGATCCAATTGGCTTCTCCGTCCCAGAATTTCGTAAATCCCTCCCGGGAAAGATAAACTTGTGTTAAATATGATCATTTTTAACCAGCCTTTTGAGAGTTCACACCCAGATCAGACCCATATTACCGAGAGTCTTTGATGAAAACCCTCTTGTGTTTCCGATAATTCTCTGGGCCGCCATGTGGAAGAATTCGCCAATCAGTTAGGGTCTTAATTGTTGAAGTAGAAGAAAATTATTTCTTTTGGCTTATCGCACTTGTTATCTCCGCGGGACATTGTTTGAGTTTAAACTGCAAAACTTAATCAACTACGAGGAAGAGGCCGATCTTAAGAATAGTTGACTGCAATCAGAACCGAATACTCATAAAGAGTACAGTTGCGAAGTACGCAGTGAACTTTCAGCATATTATACGATTGGTCCACGGGAATTTTCATTTGCTTCATCAAAATACGTACTATACCGAAAGTTCCCCTAAGCTTCTCAAAGCTTCCAAGGTCTCTAAGCCAATCAATTCATATGCATTTTGATGGTATACCAACCCAGCAAAGTCTATGGAATAGGTATGCTGAACAACCGTTGTGGGACTTGCGACATATAAACGACACGTGTACGACATTTGGTTAAGGCAGGTTCACGCTGCCTGTGAGCCAATCATCGCGAGATATTTGTTGATTAGACACGGCTACACTAACCCCAATATAAACCCGACTACCGTCGACGTGCATCTACCAACTTCAACAAGTTGGTAGATGCACGTCGAGGCGGCATCCATCCTCGCCTTGCTCTAGGTGGCGGCTCATGATTATAGCACCAGCCGCGCCCCAACTCCGACGTACGACCCTCAGCAACATTATTATTATTCAATTCTAAACATCTTTTATCATACTCCCACAAACTCAACGCACACATGCGCTTATTTTCTGGTACCGAAGTAGGACCCCAAAATGATCGCTAAAATAGCTACTATAATAAGACAAATAATGAAACACCACATTCTCTTCTTTCTAGCCTTCTTAGCAGAAATAACTGCTTTATCAGTATGGCCAACCCCCTGTTCAATATCATGCTGTGCAGTGGCTACCTGCTCTTCAATCTGCTGGATTGGTTGATCTTGTTCGATTACCAACTCTTCCATGTCATGGAATAATTGGGTCAACTCAGCCATGGTTCTCTCTAACTTCAATAATTCTCTATGTCTGGTCTGTACTTCACTCAAAACAGTCCGGGCTTCGCCTCTTCTGTTGCTCTGCATCAATGCCTGTTGGAAGTATTGTTGACTGTCACTACCATCATCAACCACCTGTCTAATTTCAGCTTCGGTAGCATCGGGCTTGATGATTTTGTATTGTCTCTCAGCTTGTAACCGGGTTTGTTCACGGTTCTGGCTTTCAATCAACCGGTACTCCTGGATCTGTTCCAAGAACCGTTGTCTAACGTTTTCGACCTGGTCGATTCTGGTTCTGTCGTTTTTGTGGACACTAGGAACTTGCAACAGTTTGATCCTTGACTTCAACTGATCTTGTAAAGACTTGGCTTCGTATATCAACGAGTCAACCTGCTTACTGTTATATTCAGCATCCTCACTGTTCAACTCGATCTCCTGAACCAAGTTTCTCTGTTTATTGGAAATCAATGACACCAAGTTCCCGTATTGATCCAATTGACTGTTCAAGTCCTGGATTTCGTTCATGAAGCTGACAAAGTCTTCGTGGTCACTTCCAGACGACCCTTTCAAGTCTTGCATCTCATACTGGTATGGATTGCTCATGTTTGATCCACGTTTAACGTTGTTTATAATGGGGTTTGTGTTTGTTCAAAAAGATTTTACTCGTGTATTTTCTGGCGCGAAGTTTTTTTGCCCGAAGACGGTTTGGCTTGATTTGATACTCCGAATGGGAAATGGCCTTTAACGCATTTGTGCTGTCGAAACACTCGGTCGCTGGCCACGCTGGCACTCTTGTGGCTACGGGGATCTTCTCCAAGAAGACCACACTGCAAGAGTTTGAGTTCTACCAGAATTTGCAACTTGAAGACCATGCTCGCGCAGATCCCGACCACTATGTAGGTGACTTGTTATCGGATTGGGTACCCAAATTTTACGGGTCCTTGACTGAAAATAGCTTGGAACTGTCGTTGGATGCTGTTTCTAGCCAATTGTACAAAATGCAGCTTTCAGATCACACTTTACCGGAATCTGTGAAACTTACTGACAAGAAATACATTGTGCTTTCTAACTTGTATGACAAGTTTGTGAATCCGAGTATTCTTGATATAAAGCTTGGATCCGTGCTTACAGACGAACTGGCTTCCCCCGAGAAAGTCGAGCGGTTGAAGAAGGTGAGCGAAAGTACTACGAGTTCTTCATTACATTTTCGGTTTTGCGGCATGAAAGTGTTGCACCCATCTTCAGAAATGCCCGACTTATCGGTTTTCGGTGATATCAGTGATACAGTTACGGTTGAACGGGATGAAGATGTTGAGTACTTGAGGTTCGACAAGTACTTTGGCCGAAATTTGGATGGTTCTACTGTCAAAAATGCTCTTAAAATATTCATTTTCCATGGTGTAAAGGATAAAGCAGTTGGGTTGCACTACCTCCAGCAATTTTGGAAACGGCTCCAATTATTATATAACTGTCTTTTGAATTACGAAGTCCGAATTGTTTCTGGGTCCTTACTCTTTATTCTTGAAAATAGCGATAAAATTTTGGATGGACTAGACTTGGAAGAGCACGATCCGTTGATACTAGAAGACGAAGATGACAGTGACAGTGACGATGAAGAAGAAGAGAACATTGCACCGCCGAAACAAATTTCATCGCTTCATCTCATCGATTTTGCTCATTCTAAGTTCGTCAAAGGACAAGGCATAGATGACAATATCATGGAAGGTATAGAGAACTTGATAACCATATTCGAACAACTTATAGAAGAAGCTTCTACGTAATGGCCCTTTAATGACAAACATAATGTGTATTATAACATCATCCTAGAATTTACAACAACTTGGTGATCTTACCGATGGCAATGGTGACACCTTGATCTCTCAAAGTAAACCTACCCAATTGCGGGTGATCATTGTAAGTTTCAGCACAAATTGGAGCAGACGTCTCCAAAATGGCAATCACCTTCATTCCCTTTTTAGCAAATGCTGGAGGTTTCTTGGACTTCCTGTTGGTGCCCTTTTCTAATTTGTGTTTCAATTCCACAAACTTCACTTCCTCAATAGCAGTATGTACGTGCATCACACATGAAAACCCATTGGACAAAATAGATTTCAACTCCACAATGGCCACTTGGGCGGCGAATCTGGTGACAGTGTTCACGGGTCTATCAACCGACGACAAAACGTAACCTTGTTGAACATCATCTTCTTCCACACCCTTAATCTTCAATTTGACTTGTTCTCCACTAACAGCTTGTTCACATTCCTGTTCAGTTTCGTTATATATGGCACTCACTTCCACTTTCACCTTGTTTGGCATCAACAATAACTTGTTATTGGTCTTGACATGTCCAGATTCAACCTTCCCTTCTACAATAAGACCCATATCCTTCATTTTAGCTGAAATGGGCATTAAGAATGGACCGTTGATCTTTCTGTTAACGGGCTTGAAGCTGTCTAAACATTCCAATAATGAAGGACCTTCGTACCATTTACATACAGAGGTGTCGATTCTGTCTCTCAACCCGGCTCCAGTGTATCCAGAAACGGGCATGAAGGTTATATCTTCTTTGGCGTATCCAATACCTCTCAAGTAGATACCCAACTTGGTGGTACACTCCTTATACCGTTGTTCAGACCAATTGACGGTTGGATCATCCATCTTGTTGACCACCACAATGATACTGTTGATACCCTGGGTTTTGGCCAACAAAGCGTGTTCTCTGGTTTGACCACCCTTTTCGAAACCAGTTTCGTATTCTCCCTTTCTAGCTGAAATCACCAAAATACCCACATCGGCTTGGGAAGCTCCTCCAATCATTTCAGAAACATACATCTTGTGTCCTGGAGCATCCAAAATGGTGTATCTTCTTTTCTCGGTTTCAAAGTAAGCCTTACCGACTTCAATGGTTTTACCGTCACTTCTTTCTTCCTTATTTGTGTCCATGATCCAAGACAAATACCAACCTTGTCTACCGGCATCCTTGGCTTCTCTTTCGTACTTATCGACCGTTCTCTTATCGACGGCATTGGTCAAGTACAAAAGATTACCACCCATGGTTGACTTACCAGCATCAACATGGCCCATAAACATGATGGAGATGTGGTCTTTTCCCCCATATAAATCGTTGACGACTTCTTCATCGATATCATCATCCACTGGTTCTGGAACTGGTGTGGCAGCCTTGGCTGGTGCTGGGGTTGAAGCTTTTGGTGCTGGGGTGGTTTCCTTCTTCTCTTCCTTGACAGGTTCTTCCTTGGCAGGTTCTTCCTTGGCAGGTTCTTCCTCGACAGGTTCTTCCTTCTTCTCTTCCTTCTTTGGCTCTTCCTTCACTTCTGCCTTTGGTTCTTCTTTCTTGGTGGCATTGGCCAATTTCACAGAACTACTTCCAGCCAACTTCAAGGTTCTCTTGGGTTTGGTGGCAGCGGGAACAGCCGACTGTTGCTTTTGGAAATCTGCTAACGAAATTCCCTGTGGCTGTTGTGGCTGCTGGGGATTGTAAGACTGGTACTGGGAGTTGTAACCTTGGTATCCTCCTTGTTGATATCCTCCTTGTTGATATCCTCCTTGTTGGTATCCTTGTTGGTATCCTTGTTGATATCCACCTTGTTGGTATCCACCTTGTTGGTATCCGCCTTGTTGGTAGCCGCTGTACTGGCCATATTGTCCGCCGGTATTGCTATTGCTGTGCTGGTTATAATTCTGGTACCCTCCGTAACCTCCAGCTTGACCTGGAATAAAGGTGTTTGCGGTATTCGGATTGAATCCTGGTTGCTGCTGGGCATTATTCTGCTGATCTTCAAATGAGAATTTCTGCACTCCCTTGGCCAAATCGTCGGGATTCTGTTGTTGGTTCGACATTTGTGGATTGGCTATGTATACGTTAAAAAATTTTCATTGAATTTTGATGAGAAGTCGCGACAAAATGCTGCAAAATCTACACCCGTCACCCTCAAGAGAAGAGATCTTCGAATGTGGGTCCATCAACACTGGGCTCGGCTGGGGCCTGGGCCCGGTCAGGATCGAGCATGTTACTCTCACCGCGACTGCGGTACCAGTGGGTCACACACTCGTGATTGTGCATTGTATCGTAGTCTTTCCTCAAGTTTGCGCTCACAAACCTCTCCGACTTCTTGAAAGGATCACACGAACACCGGTTGCTCAAGTACACGTTCTCATCAGCTGGGCAGTTGGAGAGACCATACAGCGGGTGCTCTACCGCCAAGTCGTCGAAAAAGTGGATCTGCTGCGAATGGAGCAAGGTGGACGTGAGCAACGTCCTAATAGCAGGATCTCTCCAACCCCGGTAAAAGAGTAGTCCCTTATCCTCTATGAATTCCCTCATCTTCTGGTACTCGGAGGTTCTGAAAAAGTTCAAATCCACGATCTCGAACTCGGGATGGAACGAGCAGCCCTTGTAATGCCAGTCTTTGGTGCTATCTTTTGTCTCATCCAACATGAACTGGAGATTTTCTGGGTTCACCGCACCACCACTGGCATCAACGAAACTTTGGAACTCCGATATCAACTCGGGCTGTGTTCCCTGGTAGTCTTGGTGTATCAACAGCCAGCCGTAGGCAATTTGGTTTTGTCTCATAAACTCAAAAACGTCATAGTTCACGTCGCACCCAAGCGAAGATCCCACTGGTACCTTCCAGTAGAAGTCGTAATCATCCCACAAGTCTCCCACCTCAAATATAGGCCCAAGCATCATCCGGGCCAACTTCTTTTGGCGAATATTGCTTCTTGTCTTGAATTTGGCTGGGTATTGTTCGACCCTCTCACCTTTGTTTTTGACATTGTTGGCACTAGGACTTGTTTGAAGACGGCCGCCACGTAGCTCAATTAACCGCACGTTGCCTGCCACGGCGGCGAAGTCTTGCAGCCGATCGGAGAGCACACTGCCTATTGCCACAAGAACCCAGTCATAATTGAACTTGTTGTTAAACCGTTCCTGGTAGTGCTGGATGGTTTCTAGGGCCAACCGGGCGTCCTCTAGAGACACGATCACGAGGACCATGGCGGCCTTCTCCTTGCCGGCACGATTCTGGTCCCGTTTGTTGAGTTGACTAATTCCACTCACTGGGCCAGGATATCTGTCACTGGACGTATGTTCCAAACCTTGCACTTCAGCGACTTCTTTGACCATTTCAGCACCCTGACCGTCCCCGAAGACACCCCCACCCCCCGCTATTACACCACGGACCTCGCCAACACTTTTGTCCACAAGCTGGCGTATGTCACCAGCTAACCAGTACACCGCCAAAACCACAGCCGCTGCCACCAACACCACCATCTTTGCACCCTTAATGCTGGAAACAGTGGGCACCTTTGTCATTCTGCTTAGCACACTAATCGTACGTTCTCTAAGCCAATGTGTTGTATCTCACCACTAATGTATCAAGACGAATCAACTGACAAAACCCGCGCCAAAATCAAAATCATCTCCAACATCTGATAAGGAGAACCCCTCAGCCATGGCTATCTTCAGCGACCACCCGTACACGTCGATCACGGTAAAAATCGAGCAATTGGCACGGCCCCACCAGAACGATGATATTGATAACGCATTGGAGTTGTACATCTCCGACTTGCTTCATTTGATCAAACTCCAGCCGCAAACTGGTGCCAGTGAGGCCGCCAGGGCCATTCGAAAAAGAATCAAATACGGAGAGTCCGTCGAGGAACAACTCCGGGCATTGAACATCTTGGAGCTCTTGATCTTGAATGCTGGTAGCAAAATTGGGCCCATAGTAGCTAGAGACGATAAATTGTTGGATGTGTTGAAAGGGTCTATCACGGGTTCTGGTAAGACTGGGATGGGTGTACCATTCGACCCCGAAGTCCAGCAAAAAACAAAGGAGTTGGCAGCTGGCTGGAAGTCTGAGTTGGCTGACCTTGAAGGGTATAAGTATATGGCATCATTGTGGAAATTCATTCCTAGAAATCGGTCTGGGGGTCACCACCATTCGAGGACCAGGTCTGAATCCCACCGGTACGACGACGAGACTCCTGAGAATGCCTTTGATGATGCAGATGGCGTACGGAGCCCGTCACCCTCAAGTCCTGCTCTTCGTAGAGGTATCCATAAAAAGGTGCCTCCTCCCAGACCCCTGTCATCTTCTCCATACACAAGCACTTCTGGCACCAAGTCGAGATCAACCAAAGACAAGAGGAAGAAGAAGAAGAAGAAGCGGGGCCACGGTATTGTGTACGCTGATGAGCAGTACAGGATTCCGCAGATCAACTATAAGGTGGAAGCTCCCAATATCAGAAGCACCTTGGCCGATGCCCAGACCCATACCACTGCATTGAACAATTACTTGATCTTGTTGGCGCCCGGAGTGTCTCCGCTTGATGACCAAAAGACCCAGCAGGAGTTTGAAAAGTGTAAGAAGGCTAGGCGGAGTGTATTGAAGTACTTGCAGTATGTGGGGGCTGGAGATCCGTCTGAAAAAAGTAGAGAAGTGTTGCAAATGGACGAGGAGTTCTTGGGCAGTTTGATTGCGGCCAATGAGCTGCTTGTGGAGGTGTTCAAGAAGTTTGATTTCCAGGCTGGATACACGGATGAGAATCCCGCTCCCAATTACGACGACGAGGAAAGTAGTGGAGAAAGCTACTATACCAGCGAGTCTGAAGACGAGTCCAACGATGTTGATGCGTTGGCTGAGAATGTCCGTGGGTATCATGTGGCTGAAGGGTCCAGTTCGACTGCTCCCGTGTCAGCACCTCCAAGGGTCAAGTCTCCACCTCCCCCCAGGCCTTCAAAACCTGCTGCTTTGGCGGCTCCACCGAAAATCCAACGCACCAACACCAATGCCACTGTGTCGAGCGATCCGTTTGGCGATTTGAATGAAGTGGATGGGCAGAAGTCGGTGTACTATTAGGAGAGGGTAGATCAGGTAGGTTATATATTCTGTAATCCTCATTGGAAAAACAAGCACGTTTGTGGACATGTTCTTTCGTCGTCTCTGTTTTGGTGCCTCTTGCGGTGCCTGTCTCTGGACCTGTGTCTGTGTGTTCCTTTCCCCTATATTTTGCAGCCATACCGTGTTCGCGAACAAGTTGACATCGAAATCACAGCAACAACCCCCAATCACTCATTACCATCCCCGACCCCCGGTGAGCCCCAGAAATCGCACACATACACCTCCTACACCCATGCTGAGTAGACTTCAGATCTCGGAGACCAAACCCTCGCGATCGGCTTCGGTTTCACGCAAATTTCAACCCCATTTCACCGGTCCCTCAGTCTCACTCCCTCCAATAAAACACTTTCAATTGGACTATATCCTCAAACACGTGCTCAAGGACGAGTCGCAGCAGACGGTAGACTGCCTTGTGGATGTCTCGTCGAGGTACCGGAAGGATTTGAAAAAGGAAATCAGATTGAAGCTCTCTATAGAACAGCGACTACAGAACAAAAACATCGAGGTGGCCAAAAGAGCCCATTCCATCGACACAGGCCTCCAAAATGAAATTACATCCATCTCCAAAACGTTGTACCAGGCGTCTGTTTCACGTGATCCCGCCGGTGCGACCCTGGAGCGATCCAATAACCTTGATGTTGAAGTCTTGCAAGTGGTTCAGATGGCAGAGGAGATTCTGCCCAAGTTCTTTAGTATAACGAAGAAGGCTGCCAAGATCGACGTTCATTTGAATGGTTCCGACGCTTTGACCAAGAAGGGCTCTTCACAGAGAGCAAAGTACCCGCTTCTATACCAGTTCTTCCATCCTGAGATTCCTGAAGTGAAGAAAGACAAAAGTGCTCCACCCCAAACTCCATCCCAAACTCCATCCCAAAATTCACCGCCAGTATCAGCACCTTTGTCATATCCTCGTCCGGAGTCTAATGAGCATCACAACTTGAACACCTTGCCCTCTTCAGAACAACCCATAACCATAGACGATAAGCCCATGGACCCCAAAGCCTTTGATGAGTTCATGGCCCAAACTCTCAGCAACTACAGAAACCAGCAGAGCAAACGGTACGCCGGGACCGACATCTTCATGGAAGAACAGCAGAGATTATACGATAGCACAGAGCTTTACAATGGAACCCATTTCTCAGGCTCTTCAGCTACATCTTCAGCCTTCCACCAATATCAAGACCCTATTGGATTGCTCTATGTGATGCCACTGATCTCGGCCAAGTCAGCTGCCACTGTTACTGAGAACTTTCAGACTTCACACTTCAAGAAACTCCGAATAAACGGGTCTCCTATAACCTCGGAGTCGTTCAGAAAAAGACTGCTCGTCCCTGAAGACTGTGAATGCAAATCTGATAGGAATGTTTTCAACAAGCCGTTGGAAGCAACAGCTTCCAAGTCAAGCTCGGCTTCAATTAGCACCGAAGAAGACGTTCACATTGAGCCATTGATTGTTTCAGACTCTTCAGACTCGGATTCCAGTCACGACGACAACGCTGAAGAACCTCTCTCTGTCGCCACTAACGAGTACTATTCATCTCTACATGATGATTACCGACTGAAGAAGAAAAAACAGAAGCGTCGTCTGTTGCAAAAGAGAATACCACTGGTGAGAGCCTTTTCTCCTACACCAAAACACGAACCGTCTCATCACATTTTGAAGCCGAAGGCTTCTATCCTCAAGCCGCTGGTGTACAAAGATGTATCAAGAGCTCTGAAACCGTCAAAGCTGTTACAAGAGTCTCCAGATTCTAAAGTATGGGACAGAGAATCATCACCACCTCCCCGTCTTCCCATTATCAACAACGACACCGTCAACTCCGTCAACAGCATCACCGCCTTGGGAATCATTGTAAGAGAAGATTCCAGTGATGCCCAGTCTGAAAATGACAGAGTCGTCGAATGGAATGGTCTACCTGAGGAGTCAGCCGTACAAAAGAATGACAGTATTAAATCCCTTGACCGGCTTCGGTCGCTTGTATTATAACTACATCATGTCCATAGACCCAATGATCAGATCGATGTAAACTCATTAAATATCAGCACTATATCATGGATGATGTGTGGATCAGGTTATCCATACGTAGAAGAACCATAAAAACACAATGAAAAACACCACAAACCACAGCTTGCAGTTGATACCTGCTCTCTCACTCATCACCACCATTCGGTTATACGTGTTCTTCAACGTAACCTTACCTCTCTCCATATTCTCGGCTATATTGTCGTTTAACTTGATTGACTTGTTTATTTCACTCCCCATCTTCACCCCCAAATTCTTGATCATCGCCACCTTTTGGCTCATATTATCCAATTCCTCGTTGTTCTGCGATTCCAACGACAGTAAATATGATTCGTTGTGTTTGGCCGACGCAGGAGTCACTTTATCGTAGGGAGACCCGACTCGTGAAGGTGTTTTGGTGAGGCCATTGGCAGACGAAAACAACTGGGTTCTCAAGTCTCGCTGATGGGTACTAGCCCCTGCCGAGTATCTATAACTCATGTGTAGTGTTGTACAGATGCAATTTCTTACCAGATGCCACTCACTTAAAAAGAACAAGTGCTCTGTAACTATCAACAATGACGCTTCGACTTAATCTTTTTCGCGCAACCGATTTGACATTTCAATCTCATTACTAAGATAATTCTCTGATGGAACAACAACCTCCACGCTCGCTCGCGAACGTCAAGCACATTGTGTTGGTTCTCTCGGGGAAAGGTGGTGTAGGAAAGTCGTCTGTGACTACCCAAACGGCGTTGACATTGGTAAATAAAGGTTTTGATGTGGGGGTACTAGATATAGACTTGACGGGACCCTCTCTTCCAAGAATGTTTGGAGTCGAGAAAAAACAAGTTTTCCAGTCCACAAACGGATGGGTGCCTGTACTGGTGTATAGCAATGCGTTGGATCCGGTGGAGAAGAACGGCAAGACAAGAAGAGGTAACTTATCGTTGATGTCGCTAGGATTTCTTCTTGGGGATAGAGGAAACTCTGTTGTGTGGAGAGGCCCCAAAAAAACAGCAATGATACGACAGTTCCTCAAGGATGTGGTATGGAATAGTGGCCTGCTGTCGAAGCCTTTGGACTATTTAATCATCGATACACCTCCAGGTACATCTGACGAGCATATTGCCATAGCAGAAGAATTGAGATGGGCTCTGCCTATTGACGGGGCTATAATCGTCACCACTCCACAGCAGGTGGCCACGGCTGACGTGAGGAAAGAAATCAACTTTTGCCAAAAAATTGAGTTGGATATCTTGGGAATTGTAGAGAACATGAGTGGATTTATATGCCCATACTGCGCAGAGTGTACTAATATCTTTCTGAGTGGTGGAGGTAAAGCTTTGAGTGAGAGCTTGAACCTCGACTTTCTTGGGAACATTCCCATTGCTCCAAAGTTTGTGGAGTTTATTGAAATGCAAGATAACGAAGAAAACGACGGGAAGAGGAAGCTCATCGACTTGTACGAGGAGTGTGAACTAAGCCCGATTATGAACGGTGTCATCGATAAGATTCTTGCCAAGGACCTTCCATCGAGAATATGACAGCCATTTCCACAATTAATCTACACATTTGGCTGGAGCTACTTTAACTGCATTTTCATATCTTTACATGTACATTGAATATTCATTGCATCATCTATTTGTTGGCCTTTTTCCATTTGATGATCCTTCTCTTCAAATCTCCTGCACTTTGCTGGTATATGTTCAACTTCTTGTCCCACTTCATCTTTTCATAGTCATCTCCATACTTTTCATAAAGGCTTGTTAACCAGTCGCTTTCTCTTTCGGATTGAACTCTCTCTTTAACTATGCTGGCATTTTTGAGGGCTGTTTTCTGCAACTCTTGAACGACTTCTGAATCTTCTTTCTGGTTCTGTGTACTGTTCCCTTTCATGGTTCCGTATATCACCTTGATCACCTCATTAGTGTCGGGATCTCTTATAATGCGAGCCTCCCCTTCAGGTATTTGAGCAGGATCTTCTGTTTGTTCCACGTCTTCGGGTTTTACGGTGGCCGGGTCGTCCTTGGGACCATCGCTATACTTCTGCAAGGGCCTGTCGACTCCCCCGGCAATGTGCCCAAGTTTGGCTCTTAATCCAAGCTTCTTATAGTTTTGCTGCAATGTCAAGGAGCTATCCCATTTTTCTTTGATTAATGGGTTCGAGAAGATCTTGACTCTTGCGTGTTTGTCCTTTAATCGTCTGGTGTTCTTCTTGACCGATGAACGGGCCATCTTTCTCTTTCTAACGGATGCCATGCTGATGTGTGTTGCGATGCTTTTGAGATGAGCTTCTCAAATTTTCTTCCTTTTGGCTGCGCGCTTTTTGACTTGGTCCCAATCTGTTTTTGCAACTACACACATAATAAACTCATACGGAAATGGAATCGGGTTGTGGAGCAGTAGACGCCTGGGAATCAGGAAGACTTCTCTCTCTGCCCCTCCCTCTGGCCCTCCCTCGGCCACCACGGTTCCATTCAGTGGGGCCGCCATTGCCATCATCATCATTACCAAGCACTCCTCTCACTGACATAAACCCTCCTCTACCTCTACCTCTTCCTCTGCCTCTACTTCCCGGTCCTCTCACAAAACCTCTCCCACCTCTCGAACCTCGGTAGCCACCTCTGCCTCGGAACCTACCAGAGCTTCCTCTGGCACGTCTAGACATCCCGGGGAAATTTGTTCGCTTCGCCGTCACTTTCAACTCTCGGTTTCTGAACACTTTTCCGTCTAGTTCGCTGATAGCTTTTTGTGCACCTTCCTCCGAATTGAATTCTATATAGGCGTAACCTTTGGGGATACCTGTGAACCGATCAAACAAAATGGTGATACGTTCTATCACTCCTACCAGGTGGAAAAACTCTTCCAATTGTACGGGAGTACTTGTGAAGTTGACGTTTCCTACGTACACAGAACGGCTATCAACCTCTTCTTGAACTTTGGGGCTGATGGTTTCTGTGGTTTGTGGGGTGGGCTCTGCCGGTATGGGCGTGCTTTCGGGTACCGTAGTTGTTTCTGCATCTGTGAAAGTATCTGGTACCGTGGTGTTCGGTTGTTGAGAAACGATCTCGGCTCCGGTCATAGATGTATCCTCACTCATTTTGTTAAGTAGACGATTCGGCAAAACAAGTGGAAAATTGGTTTTCAGTGGAGATCTTTATCCCAGAAAAGAATGGGGTTGTGATGTGCTTTTGTACAAGCGTTTTCACTAGATCAAATGCACTGGATGTCTGACTTACGAATGATATCAAGGAATTTAATTACTCGGACCAGAAAAAAGTGAAGAGCGTTTGTTGATCGAGCGCGGCCCCAGACGATCCTGCCAAGCGCGATGCTAATCTATAGATAATCGACTGTGCATTTATAAATATATCCAACTGGTTTATTCGGCCTCCACAAAAGCCCTGTAGGTGGTGAACGGCTTGTCGGTCGATTCAGACTCTAACTGAACCTCAGCATTGGGGCCAATGAAATAGACATACCCGGTTTTAACAGGTAATGAGGTTTCAGAGCCAGTGATGTTGATGGATCCAGAACCTTCAGTGCATATTATGATGGAAGGTCCTTCAAAACCGTCAAACGACTGAACCTTTCCGGCAACAGTGTCGAAGATGATTTGTAACACCGCAAACTCAGCGATGGGAGGGTTGTACAACACCGATTTGGCTGCTTCACCGCTCGATTTGGCAAATGGTAACAATGGCATCTTTTGCTTTTCCACCGAGTCATACGAATAGGTCAACATTTCCACCAAGTTCTTCACGTCTTTGAACTTGGGGGTGAATCCAGCTCTGACCACGTTATCGGAAGCAGCCATACACTCGATGATATCCCCCGAGATATAAGCATGAGGATCCTTGGCTTGCAAAAACATGGCTTCTCCAGCCTTCAAGTGGACGTGGTTCAACAACAAGCATCCACAAAACAACCCGATATCTTCTGGGAACTGCTTGTCCAATCTCTGGATTAACTCGGCCAAAAATGGCGAGATTGCCCCAAAAAGTTCGGGCTCAGACTTGGTTCTGGCCAATAACGACCGGGCTTTGGCCTTGATGATGGTGTCCTCGGTGTTCATCAACTGTCCAAATACCTTCTGCAACAACTTGCGGTTGGCAGCATCGTCGGAAGACCCCAACTCGGCGTCGGGCTTGATGCCCCCGACAAACTCTTCAACGAGATCCTGGCCGATAATTTCGTTCAACTCGGGAATCGTTTGCAAAGTCTGCGCGAGCTCTTGTAATGGCTTGAACCCACAGAACCCTTCGAACGCAGTCACAGCAATGGCCATTTCCGGCTTGTGGTTGTCATCCGGGTAGTTCTTGGGGTCAGCAGCGTGTAACTGGGCGCCCAACTTCTTGTCGGGATGGGCTTGAATCGACAACACTTTCTCGATGGATAACACCTTAAACAAGAAAGGTAGCTCCTTTTCACTGCCAAACTTCTCGATGATGGAGCTGTGTAAGTATGCAGTTGGGTCGGATTCCACGAGCTCCCTCAAGGTTTTTCCGGTGTTGTTGCCGGCATCGACTGCTTTGGAGGGTACCGAAGGATGAGTGCCCATCCACAACTCAGCGTAGGGCTTGGATTCATCGATTTTGGTGGCAGGGTTGGAGCTGGCGGCGAACTGGGCGACGGCTGAGGACGAGCCGATCTTCCCCCAGTCGTAGTTTTGGTAACCACAGTCAAGTCTGAATAATGACATGTTAATTTGCAAAAGAACAGGGTGTGGAAAAAATGAAATTGTAAACGCTCATTTGTTTTGTAGACACTCAAATTCATTTGGTGTTATCGTGTCGCGTTAAACGTTTTAGTCCCGGAGTTTGACCTTTTTGGTATTGTCAACTGTGCCCGATGTGGTGCGGGAAACTTGTTGCAAATGCTGGAGCTTGGTACAATACCTGTTGCAAAGCAGATGTGCGTGTTTTCAGACCTATACCACTTTTTCCGTGGTATATTCCGTATATCCCTGGTCTGTCGGTCTTGCACGCTGGGCTGCAAATTGCGCACAAATAAATTTTCACTGCTAATAACATGTCTGAGTGGATAGAAACATCCACAGGTAATCGTATATCTGCCACGGCGCAGCTCAAGCGCCCGGACAAGATACATATTCGTGGTAACTCTACCGTGGACTTGGAAGCCGTGCTCCACGGCGATGTTGAGTTGACAGACGCTTCTGATCCTGCCATTACCATAGGCAAGTACTGTTTTGTGGGTCCTAAAACACACATCTGGCCGCCTAAGTTGACGCGGGAGGAAGGCGCCTTTGGGGTGTCGAGAATTGGCTCACACGTGATCATTGGTCGTAACTGCAAGGTCAGCCTGGCACTAATTGGAAATCGGGTGTTGATTGAAAGTAACTGTACTGTGGGAAATCTCGCGATAGTTTACGACTGTTGTGTAATTAAGCAGGGATGTACAATTCCTGACAAAATGGTGATACCCCCATTCAGTCTCGTCAGCGGAGCTCCTGGTAAAGATTTCGCCGTCAAACCGCTTCTGAACGGGTATAAACGAGCTATTGAATTGGAATCTAAAGAGCTACAGATATTGGGCTACTACAGAAATATCAACTAGGAGCACTCATGAACTAGTCGTGTTTTTCAGTGTTACCGATGATGCCCATGGAGCTCGTGGTTCGACGAGATCTCTTCTTGAATCTCAAGTATGCCAGGACCGTACCAAACACCGCCAAAATGACAATCAAATATCCGGCAAAACCTCTTTCATGTACAACATCCATAAACCGTAGCGAGGCCCCGTAGGGGCTTCCAACGAGATAATTCTTGAGGTTTACTAGGTTTAGATCAACTCTGTGAGATACGAGTTGTGGGTCCAAGAGGTACTTCAATACGAGACTGAAATCCTCCGGTGTGGTCTTTAACGGCTCTCCCGTCAAATCCTGATCCCAGTAATGAGTGTTGTCTTTGGTAACAACAATAGTGTCACCTACGGCGTACTCTCTGGAGTTGACATTCCATCCGTGATACCCTGCGAGGTTGGGGTTGGTGGTCAAATCAATGAACGTGAAAAGAACTTGGTTGGTATCAAACAAATGAGGCACTTCTTTCCTCATGGCCTTGATGATCTGAACACTGTCGGCGTTTTGTTTCTTCAATTCGTTCACCCGTTCTTCCTTCTGTCCTCTTTTTTCAAGTATATCGTTGAAATAATACTCGTTTTTGACATATTGGTACTGATGGGCCACCAACGATATCTGGTAGAAGATCTCATCGGTCTTTTGAGGATTTGACGAATCAACGAATGTCACAACAACCTTGTCTTGATTGTTGCCATTTTTTTTGTCGAAATAAAGGGGCATCAACTCCGGAGTCAACTCTTGGTATAAGGGAAACTGATTTCTGGCAACAAAGTCAAGCACTTTATCCTTGTTTCTTATGTCTTCAGGGGCATAACTTTGAAAAATAGGTGTAAACAAAGTATTGTCCTTGATGATAAAGAGGGTTGGTTTGGTTGTCAAAGTAGTAGCCAAGTGCATGGCCTTGTTGAACGTCTTTTTGTCCTCCTTTTCATCAAAGTTGATAAAGTTCACCATATTCTGAGCCTGACTTCCAATGGCTCTTTCAAACTTGTCACTCTTTGTAGTATAAATGTACATGTTGAAAGGTGAGTAGGTGGCAAAGTCCAACAAGTAAGGCAAGATATCTTTATCCTCAGCAGCAACTGTTTTAGGATCATAATAGAAAACAATCGACACTTTGTTTTGGAGTGGGTAGTAGGAGTACAAAGGCTCATTAGGTAAGCTTTTCCTAAACTCCATGATCTCAGACAATGTCTTTGCAGACACAATTTCAAACTTGTGGTTTTCATAGAGATCACTAGCAAACTTTTTCAACGCCTCCAATGTTATAAAACCCTTAAAATCAAACCTGATGGTGCCAGTGGCTTTTGGTAAAAACATCACAAACTCCGGAGATGCAGTTTTACTGTCTGCCAACTTCTCAAACCCAAGCTTTGCACACAATTCCTTGTTCGACCCGCAACTGAAATGGCTAGTGCCAACCGTAGTTAAGACTTGGTTCGAGAGTTTGTCCCATATCTGCTTGTTATCCATACAATCGTAGCAACCTTTGGCGAATGCTGATTTGCCCGTGGTGTCACTAACCTTCCACTGCTTCTCTGTTCCTGGATGAAACATCACGAACTCGGGTTGCTGGACATCCCCAGCAATGTACTTGAGAACATTGTCTAAGTCGAGTTCTTTGGAAGCACTAGGCAAGTCGATAGCACCACTTGAATACTCGGCCACTGCGTTCTTCACAAACTTCTTGAAGTTCTCGGGAGTCCTAACCAATGACCGGGGGTAAGATGTCACGAACTTCAGTTTCCCCGTCTTCAAGCCAGTTTGACGATCGTGGATTGGAGCATAGATTCTCAAGTTTGGATATGCAAACACCTCTTCTCTTTCACACAAATCAGCACTTTCAACACAGTTGACTTGTCTCATTTGAACCTCCAATTCCGTCAATTCCTGGCGGAATTCTTTGTAAGTCTGTTCCCATTTTGGTGCCAACTGCTTACAGTGGCTACAATATGGAGAAAAGAATTCGACAAAAGAGAGGTGTTCAGCCGTCACTTTGTCGAAAGCATCCATGTTCAACTCTTCAGGAAGCTCAACTTCTTCGGATGTCGACTCATCCATGAGTTTTGCATTCTTGGTTTGGAGTTGGTTGGAGTTAACGTGGTCAGTGCCCGCCACCGAACCAACACCATCTTTGACTGGTTGGCTTCCAGAATCACCGTGGTCTGCTACCACGGGGTTGAATTCAACCGGCTGGGCCGCACGGCCAAGCGCACTCGCTCCCAATACCACAATCACCCCGGTAATATGAAACCTCATATGATGATTAGTCTTGCGAATCAAAATACAAAGTGCGGGATTGAAAAATAACTTTAAATGCTACACAAATGCTATACACATGCTAATAATATCTCAGGGTTACACATACCGATTAATCTCTAATGAATACCTCGTTATGCGTAGCCGTTTATCTCTAATAAATACGTTTTGAAATACTCAAAACTCACCAACGTCACTGCACTGGCCGGTAACGTCCGCACCAAGTTGATGCCATACCCAGCATAAAATCCTCGAAGTCCCTCTTTGGCATAAATCGTCTGGATGATCTGCTTCAACGGTTGCTTCTTCCTCGGGTTCTCCAGCGACACGTCCTGGACCTGGAGCCGTGTCCGGAGAATCTCGTGGGGGTATGTGATGGTGCTGGCAGTGGTTTTAGAAACAGTTGATGAGAAGATAAGCTTGAGTAAAGTGCCCTCAGATGCCATTCTGTGAGGGTCCTTGTTATTACATCCCAACACTTCCTTCAAGTATTCGTAGACCGGGAAATGGATCCCCACGTGAAGAAGTCCAAACAATGAAGGCACAAGTCCGCTGTAGAACACCCGTAATCCCTCTTGGCGGTACATTTTGCGAAACGCATCAATGGTTCCGGTGTAGTAGGTGCCATTTGGGGATGCTGCTTGGTGGTTCCCCCGTTGGATCATTAGTCTGGTCTTGACCACCCAAATGGGATTCACGGCAATCGACGAAGCCAGTCCTGCCGTTATAGCCGAGAAAAAGTGGGAGACTCCGGTTGCGTTGATACCAAAGTTCTCCTTCAAAAAGTGGCCATAGAAGTCTTTGGCTCTTTCGTATGCAGTAAAGTAGATCATCCATGTGGGGAGATATCCCACGGTTATGGGAACCACGCCTCGGTAAAGTCCCTTGAATCCTTCATCTCGCACAATGGTTCTGAAGGTATCCACGTATCCTCTCATTATCTGGGTCTTCTGATTCCCAAAGGCACCTTGAGCCTGGGCCCGGGTCTTGGCCACATCCAACGGGCAGACCGCCACCCCCGCGAGGAACCCGGACGAGGCGCCCGCTATCATTACCAATTGGTTTGCTGATAGTTTGCTCATCACCGTGGGAGGTTTATAATCTCCAAGAGCTTGAATCTTATGCTTCACCGGAAAGATGGCCTCGACCGACTGCCGTATTTCGTAATCCTCACCTTGTACCACGTCTGAGAAGTCTTTGTGACCGGAGACATCATTCTCTGTATCTGTTCGTATTGGTGTTGATTGCATTTGCAAAAGTGCCAGTTAGTAAGCAATCAAGTGAAAGTCTCACAAGCCACGCGGGAGAAGGGAACAAAAAAGAGATCCTATATTTCAAGGACTGGGGTTTGTGCTAGAAGGAGTATATAGTCCTTGAAATGGGCGGATTTTTAAGTTTTTCGAATAAGCCGGTTAACAGGTCCTGAGAAAACATTTGATTGGGATCGGATACAAATGGCAGCAGCGAGCGAGCGAGCGCGCGAGTCAGAGAAGGTCGTACAAAAACCCAATTTGCCTCGTTGTACCAGTTAGCTAATGGTGAAATTTGCATTAAAAATCACTGCTGAACTCGCTGGCGTCACGGGACTCCATCCGCAAGACACGCCTGAGTCGCCTTTTGAATATACTTTCACGATAGAGTGTACAAAGTGCCGGGAAGTCCATGCCAAACCAGTGACCATCAACCGATTTGAGACCCACGAAATATCAGGCTCCAGAGGAGAAGCCAGTTTTGTGTTCCGGTGTAAGCTGTGCAAATCAGAGCACTCTGCCGCCATTGAACCCACCGGAACTGTTTGTACACCTGACACAAATGGGAAACCCGTTACGATTTTGACGATCGATGCTAGAGGACTTGATTTCAATGAATTTATTCCCGATGGCTTTTTTGCTTGTGAGGGAGAGGATTCGCCTACTAAGTTCACGGAGATAGATCTCTCGGAGGGAGAATGGTACGACTACGACGATAACGCTGGTGAGGAGGTGAGCGTCACCGAGATTCTGTGGAGCATAGTGCGTTTGTAGTTTATAGTGAATAGAGGTAAAAAGTGACAGCATGCAGAGTAATCTAGGGAATTGAGGCTTTTTGAGTTGGAAGCTGTAGTCTGAATGAGTAGCTTTTAGATTATTATGGTATCACCTACTTCATTCATCTTAATCAAAACCATGGTTTCCGAGGTTTTCTGTGCAAATACTTGGTTTGTGTTATGAGTAGAGGAACAATGCCTTTTTAGTCTTCAGATTTGAATGAAAAAGGATCTTCATAACAGTATACTATTACTTGACAATGCTAGAATTGTAGAAGTGTAGCTTCTTCCAAACTGTTTTAAAAAGTTGTCCTCGCAGCCAAAGTAAATTCCTCGATTCCAGAATTTGGTGCAACAGCAGCAGCCACCTCACTGATACAGAATATAGAGATCAGCAATATCACCACTATTAACTCTCTCATAAATATAACTCACATAGTATTTGATTGGGTGATTGGGATCAACTCTGGAACATTCACAAGGACCTTGACTATTTCTTAAAGAAAGCCATATCTACTGATTAATATTTTGCTGTACAGGAAGACGGCAATATGTCCTTTAAAGGCAACAATATCGGTTTTTCTTGTTCATATTATTGGCTCATGAATTTTCAGTTTGCAGTTAGGAGCATGGAACTCTCGCTGTAGTCAAACTTTACGCAACACCTCTGTGACAAATTTCAAAGTCTTCAGAGATTGGAAATATCGAGGAGGAGCGGAGCACCAAGTCATTGATATTGTTCCGAAACGTGCATTTTGCATGCATTTTCCATACCAGCTGTAAGTTGTTGTTTATAGTTGATGAAGTAGGAATAGAGGGCAATCAGAGGTATATCTAAATTGACTTCAAGCGAGGTTGCAAAATCGATGAATTTCAGCATGCAGGGCTCGCGCTGAATATGGCAACCGAAACTTAAAGAACACTATTCTTCTTTCTAGGAACACGAGAAGTGAAATGGAGCAAGGGTACTGCTATTTTCTCTATTTACCAGCTACTGTTAGATTAGTTGTATAAACTAACAAGCTTTCACCAGAATGTTGTGATTTTAAGTTCTAATATCTTAAGTAACTCCTTTGGTCCCATGACCCTTAATACTCTAGCAAACCACCCATATTTTCAAACTTTATAGTGCACTGTACGTATACGTTACTTTCTACAATGTACTTTCAAATGTTCGGAAACTCAAAGCTCACATAAACACAGACGTGAGTTTTGCGTACTACAGTAATCTTCTGCTATAAAAAGTATTATTTAAAAGTCAGGTATTGATAGCTGCGAATGCTCGCGAAATTTTGCAGGCCAATTGTTCATATCACTTTACTCCTAAAGGCACCCACGATCATTTTCGTAGCAAATTGCTTACACCACAAAACATTTATTAATATAGTACCAAATGATGGCAAGCGAAAGAAAAATCGTTGAGAATATATAAAAGTCCAAACACTGATAAAGCTAATCAAATGTTACTCACTAAGGACATTCTGTCAAAATTAGAATATAAGAATCGCGCCCAGGTTCCATTGGATTGATTCAAAATGATATCCACAAAAGTGCAGATAACACAGCCAAGAATGTGTATGTGTTCTTTGAACTCATAGCCTCGTAAGTAGAGACTTCTTGTGGTGAAGTGTCAGAGCCATTGCCGGCAGAAGCTGCTTCAGGTGCAGCTCCAGAACCACTACCTTTAGCACCAGTTGGAGCAACGGTTTCAGCAGGGTTAGCAGTCACGGCAGCAGCGACAGTGAACGTTGTATAGGTCGTAACGGTAACATCTCCAGCATTATTAGTACATGGCTCGGTGACCACCACAGTGGACACTAATGAGTGTGGGATGTTACAGACAACCGTCTGCTTACCATTATCACCAGTTGTTGTGGTAGTAGAAGGCTCCTTGCAGGTACATGGCAAGATGACAGTGGTTACATCTTTTTCGGTGACAACTGGTACTGGTGTTTCGACAACCACGGTTGGTTGACCATCCACACCAGTCGTGGTATAAGTTGAAGTGAATGAACCAGTCCATGGAATAGTGACGTGAGGCTCTGGAGTTTCAACGACCACAGTTGGTTTACCATCGGCTCCGGTTGTTGTATAAGTGGATGTAGTTGAACCGGTCCATGGGGTAGTGATAGTTGGTTCTGGAGTTTCGACAACTACAGTTGGCTTACCATCGGTCCCAGTTGTGGTATAGGTTGAAGTGAATGAACCAGTCCATGGAGTAGTTGTGTGTGCTACTGGAGTC